ACCTTGTGAAATCCCACAAGGACTTGACATGACGTATGAATAGTAAATAATGATCGTGCACAGAACTTATTCGACTGCATTAAATTTGTAATCGCCGGAGGCTATACTGTGTGCAAATGTTTACTTCAAAGTCGTTTTTTTTTTTTTGTGAAAACTATGTATGTATGTGTAAAGAAACATAAGAGCAATCATAGACACTCACATTATTACGGCTGCATCAAAAGTGGTTACAGGAAACCGGAAATACAACAACATTGTATGTTCAGTGTAGATGGATTTAAGTGCAAATGCATATGTGTGAGTGTGTGTTTAAACACATGTAAGACTGTTTGGCTTCGTGCATGTGTGTGTATGTGTGGATTTGAATTTTAGTGCGTTTGTCTGGTTATTATCTTGATGTTTTGTGTTTTGAACATCCTCTGCTTAAATGTCTGTGGTACTGCCAGTCTACCTCGAATTTACGGAAAATTGCTTAACAAATGATTGCATTGTTTGGTAACTTTGTTGTTTTTCGGTTGTTTATGCAATTTTAAATTGCTTTGGTAGGAGCAAGGGGTATTGTGATTTTCTCTTTTTTTGGGGTGGGGGGTTCATGTATTTTGAACTAAACATTAACATTGTAGCTCTTGTCGAAGAGGTATACAAATGTTAATGAAACTTGTTCAGTTGCCGTTTTTGTAGTTGTTTTTTTATTATTGCTGTTAATGTTGAGCAATCGTTTCGTTTCGTTGGTAGTCTAATAAATGTCGAAATATGGTCCCCATTGCCAATTATCATATAATTTCTCGAACACACTACATTTATAAAATAATACCTATTACACGGAATTAATTTCAGTTCACTTTAGGAGAATAAAGGGTATGTTTTTATTCTGTTACACAAAAGTCTTTTTTACATATTTCACTCAACGACCTCATTCAAATATAATTTATTTTTACTTTCAGCAAGTAGGTCAAAATAAGACATGCCAGATAATATAAACCGATAACCACCATCTTCACACTAGATCTTGCGCTATTAAACATATTGGGATATGCGAAATTTAAAGGGAGCCGTATGCTCATTTTTTCCATTTTCAAGCCTCATCTTGATTCAAAATGTTGACACTTTTGTGGGGGAGGTACCAGAAGGAGTAGACCGATATATCCCACCTACACACCAGATCTTGTGTTAATAAAAATATTGGGATGTGTGAAATTAAAAGGCAATTGAACTTTCATTTCTCATTATTCGAAATTTTGAGACACGTTTTGGCTGTATAAAATGATATATACCCAAGCGAAATTTTGAATGCAATTGGAGCGAAAAATATGTTAACGCTAAATGAAAAATGACGCCTTTCTAATTATATTTCCATGCTCTACATGGTTATCTGGTCGTATTTTTGATATTTGGAAATAAGCTAAGTAAAATAGCTATAAACCTTAAATTGAAAAAAAAATAAGCAAATATTAAGTTCGGCCGGGCCGAATTTTAATACCCTCCACCTTAGGGTAAAGGAAATATTTTTATATAAAAGTATCTGAATTCAAGCGTGTTTCACTTTAAACTTCATACACCAGTAAGACCTTCTGCAAAATGCAGTTAAACTTATCAAAAAACCAAAAAGTAAGTGACACCGTTATATGGGGCCATATCAAAACGGGAACCTCTATAGATAATTTTATACTTCAAGGATTGTCATCTATCAAATCTTCTAAATGTAACTAGGATTATCAATATACCGAATATCGGTGGATATCGTTATATGTGCGCTATAGGAAAACGTGGAACAACTATTCAATGTTTTGCCACCGGGCGAGAACCCATTATGAACTATAATACCAATTTTTATCAAAATACCAAAATACCTATGTACCCTATACCAAACGTTGACCTATATACAATGTTTCGCCACACGAGATTTAACCCATTACGAACTACGAACAACAATTTCTGGACAAATCCGTTAAAAAAGTTGCAAAAATCATCAAAACACCGAATATCGAGAGGAACCGATATGTGGGTGCTATACCGAAACGTGACCTATTCATACAATGTCTTTCCACACAAGCTAGAATCTATTATGACCTAAAAATTCCGATTTTTTGACAAATTCGTGAAAAAATGTGGCAAAAATAAAAATTCCGAATATCAAAAGGTACCGTTATATGGGGACTATACCAAAACGTGGATATATATATATATATATATCTCATTGTCAATACCAACCATCCTAGACACAACACAAATTGTTCTGCCTAATTTTGACGCTCCGCGTCAAATAATATGGGCTGTATCGTGATTTCAACCGACATAGACATCGATGTCATCGACATTGTATACTTTATGGAGTCTACAATGAATATTTCAGGGACGTTACAAACGGAATGACAAAGTTAATATACCCTCCTGTCCAAAGTTAATATACCCTCTTGCCGGTACGACCTTATAATAATCAAAATAATCAATTAATAAGCTGGCTACTAAGTTTGTTGTCAAAATTCAATGAATGTCACATCACAAAAAATCCACTAAGTTTATTGTCATATTACTGGCAAACCTAGTGTTCTTGTCCGACCTTACATGGACTGTGATTTTCTCCATAATATGTTCCATTTAACACTTGTTTCCTTTGTAGAAGTGCTCATTTTATATTATCATTGAAAGAAAATTTAGTCTCTGGATATGGATAGAACATAGAATTCTTTGAACTGATTACGTTTTGTTTTTAAAGAAGTGTTGACAAGAAAAAAATATATAATCGGTTTCTTCAAAGCTCTTAAAGGCAGAAGAAAAAAAAGAAAATCTAAAATCAATCACCAATACAAGGACTTTTTCCAAGAAATGCTACCGGCAAAAAGAAAAGTTGGAAGTATGTCTCGTCTTAAAGAATAATGATGTCGACACTGATGACTGCCATTTAAAAATCCATAGGCCGACACCCTTTTGCAGGTTCAATTATTTGCTGTGAGAAAAGGAAACATGTGTTGCGATGTTTTTTTATATGTGGTGGACTATTGAGCAAGGGAAATTTCACATATAGTCAGTATGATGATAAAATAATCACTTAGTCAAATAAAATCGTTTAGTATACTTCCAATTACTCTTAATTTGTATGGGCACATCCATCTGAATTTTTTATAAGCTTTGTATTCAAATTTAGTTTCCCTCCTTATCATACTTACTCTTTACATCCCTTAGAACAAATATCTAGCAGTAGGAATAAAAACTTGACAAAGATATTCCCTTTTTCCTAGTTTTGTTGTCATTATTTGTGTCGGAGTACGTCTTTCTTTTTTTTTTTTTTTTTTTTTTGTTTTTCTTTCCTATTTTGCAATTCATGAAAAGCTTTTGTTGTGATGTGCTATTGAAGTTGTTTTGTTGCCTTTCTCTGGCAACAGTTGTTATTTCCGCCCCACAATATTCGTCGTACGGCACACCTCCTTGAACTGGATTTTGCACTGCTTCATTCGTTTCTTTTAAACTCTACGTCTATCTTTCGCCAACATTAAATATTATCAGAGTCATCTGTTTGCCTTTTTTTCAATACTTTCCCAGGTTATTTCTTTGCATTTCATTTCCCACTATGTAACGATAATACTTGGCAAATCGTTTTGTTTATTGGTAAAATGTCTGAATGAGTCAAGCTTTTATTAAAATTAATATGTCAGTATGAGCACAAACTTTTCGAATGGATTTCAGATGTTTACGTGTTGTTGTTTAATAGAAACAACCCCATGGTACAAGGAAAGGTAAGGCAGAGCTACCAGTTGATTAAAATTTGTTTCTAAAAGTGCCCGATTTGTGCTAATTTTGTGTACATATTTATTGCTTCAAAAAATAAAAACAAAATAATTTCAAAATCCTTGTTTTGTCAAAAGTCAACCAAACTTACAACTAGACTTTCTTTTTTTCGATGTTGTCAAACTGACCCTTTTTTGAATTCATTGTATGATTAAACAATTAAAAAAGCTGTAAATTCAGCCGGGCCGAACTTTTAATACCCTCCACCATTTGAACCGAATTTGGCAATTCTCCAAAAAAATAAAATCTGTTAAAATCTTATAGATACCGAATGTAGCTGTTATATTAGTGTCAATACGACTACAAGGACCTGCATAGGTAACTTTTGTCATAAGCCATTACAATATTCAAATGCGAAACTTAGAAAAAATCGGTGAATATTGTAGCTAAAGTCATCAAAATACCGAATATCCGGAGGTGCCATTATATCGGAGCTGTGCGAAGACGTGAACCTGCACAGACAATTTTCTGTCTTAGGCTGTAGTATTCATTTCGAACTTCAAATACCAAATTTGAAACACTTCCGGTGAATAATGTCGCTAAAATCATCAAAATACCGAATATCGGGAGGTACCCTCATATAGGAGGGCTATAAGAAGAGGTTTACCTGCACAAACAATCTCCTGTCATAGGCTGTAGCACCCATTACGAACATCAAATACAAAATTTGAAAGAATTCTGATGAATATTGTCGCAAAATCATGAAAATACCGAATATCGGAAGGTACCGCTATATGGGGGCTATACCAAAACGTGGACCTACATGGCCCATTTTCAATACCAATTTTTGTCGATATCATTATTAAGAGGAAAATCGGTTACTGTAACAAAAATTTATACATTCTTGCAGTTCTGGAACAAACCAATAATAGTCCGAATCTGGCACGTTGTAATATGTATATCAACGAAATTGACAATAATGGCCCAGTCCTTTGCAACCTCCTCCTTAATTGTTTACAAGCCTGCTTATTTGATGTTTGACATAAAGCAACAAACTATAACAGATCTTAGACAGAAATAAATAACTGGTATATGATGACCATTTTGCAAATAGTAGTCTATGGAGCTATAATATTTGAGGTGAGGAATTTGTTCTGAATTGAATTGACTACATTGCAAAACACCAGCATCAGTTTATTTCCATAAAAATTTCGTTTTCATTAAATTCCTAAATTTAATTCTTTATTGTCAGATGTTGGATTATGTGTCAAATACTAAACACCCATCTCTTTAGATGTTTATTTCTCAAATAAGCCAAAACTTTTACAAAATCTTTGTAAGAGAATCAACAGGATTAACATTACAGCTAGCTATGCAAAATTTCCACTTGCGGTTCCAAATTTACTCCCGCTGCAATGTAGTTGCCGGCATTATGTCTCGGCGCTGTACAAAAGTTTGTAGTTTGTTACCAACGCTACAAATACTCTTCCGTTTGGTTTTACGTTTGCGTATGCTATTTTCCAAGAGGCATATTGACATTCGCCCTGCTCGGTTCGCTTTCGCTCCCCGCACAAGAGCAAACAAACTCGTCCTGGCGTTGGTGTATTTTCAGGGAAATTTGACAATCTCCTCTATCGCCAGAAAGAACGCTTCAATAATGCCCGCACATATGCGGCACTTACTGTGGCAACCGAAAATAAACAGTAGCACCCATGACAGGAATGTCACGGCAACAATCGACTCGTGGCAGTGTGAGTTCGTTTGTGGCAACCAGGAAAATGTATGACTTTCTAATCAAATCGAAACTGAAATTGAAAAGAACATTTGAATTTTGAGGAAAATACCACAATTCGGAATTAAAAACAAACACAAAAAGCAACATTGCCGGAATTGGCAGCGGATAAATATACCAAGAATTTCCAAACAGCAAAGACGAGAGAAAATCAATTTAAGTCGGAATTTTTGTAAACTGTAAGTAAAAGGGGTGTGAGTAATGCGAATAATAATTTACGAATAACATTTGTGTTTTGACACAAAGAAGATTGCAGATGAGGCTTTGCAAATAATTAAAAAAAAATATTCGTTCTTTGTTTTTTTGGATGAAATCTGTCACCGTTTGATAGATCTTGTTCTTATCAGGGTTTCATTTACACGCACTTCCTTCCCTCTCCACTTCTTTTTGTGACAACAGTGATATGGACTTGCTATTAATATCGGACACCTTTTCCATTCCAGAGGGTGAAAGTGTCGGTGCAACCGCCATGCCCGGCATCATGGACGATAATCGCATTTTATGGCTCAAGTGCACCATCGCCAACTTGTTGGGTGTATACGAACCAGAATTTGTCAATGCCGTTATCTATGATAATATGAATGATTTCAAGAGCTTCCTCGAGGACAAATACTCCAAAAACGAGGATATCAATAAAGTCGTTGTGTACATGTGGCGCACCTTCTACGACAAGCTGGTGGAGGAGGAGATCACCGTGCTGGAGGAGGGTAAGCCTGTTCACAAATCATTACACGGACGTACCGTACAGACGCCCAGTAGTAGTCCATCCGAGAGATGGAGATGCCACTTCAGCTGAAGGACAGATAAGAAGGTTTTCTGTTTTGCCAACAGAGTGCTAAAGAAACTTTAATTGAATTTATAAGTAAATATTGAATTATTTCGAAATGGTGCACTCGATATCTTCTGTTTGATTCCGTTCGATTCGATTCCAAACGAAACGATATGATGCGATTCGTTCACACAGATTGTGTTCGACACTTCAGCTCAGCAACAATAGAGGATTGTTATTACTGCTGCTGCTGCTGGAGATTTTGGCGAAAACCACTTGTGCTAAAAGATTTGGATACGAATTGATTTGGTTGTTGTTTTTACAAAGAATTGACAGTAATTATTTTCGATCGAAGGACCGAAAAGTGTTTACATTCCAATGACATAAAATCACATAGAAAATCAAAGCATTGATTTGCAGAAAAATCTTGGTTAGAACGCATTAATATCGTATTTGTTTAAAATCCTTCAAATTCGTGGATGACCTTTATTGTTACGAACGCATTTTCAATTATAGAGATAGAAAAAATAATTGATGTTTTCGAATAAGAGTAACTGCAAATAAAAAATAATTACGAAGAAGAAAGAGGGTACTTGAAATGTGGTGTAAATACGGGAATGGGAAAAAATTGTTCTCTTCATATACCTAGATATAAATATTTGTCCCAATGCAAAAATAAGTTCAGCTACATTAGAAAATGTGCTCAATACAAATACTACCACGTGCCAAGTTTGGATTATGTCGGGTACTCAACTGGCTTTATATAGCATATCAAACATAATGCTTTGCAATTTTTGAGATCTTGCGGGGGAAAGTTCCAGAAAGAGTGAGACAAGAAAATTGAAAGGGAATTTTACAAGTTATTTTTAAGAGAATTATTATTAAAAAGCATTTCTTTACACTTTATCACATAAATGTGAAGAAATGATCCGATATAAAGCATTTGCGCACATCACTTTAGTATTTCATAAATGGTACCAAGTTTTGACTATATCGGGTACTTCCCTAGGGTTATAAGTAAAATATGTAGGTACTAAAAAAGTAGTCTCATGAATTCCATATTCACAGTTGGTTAAATATAAGTAAAAATGTGTCAAGTTCTTACCGATACCGTGTACTTATTTCACATTTTACGAGATGTATTATTATTCAACAAGTAAAAAAGCAGTTCGGCCGAGCCGAACTTTGAATACCCTAAACTAATTGGAACGAATTTGAAAATTGACAAATAATATATAAAATCCGTTGAAAATTCTGTTAAAATCTTAAAAATACCGAATGTAGCCGTTATATTGGTGCCTATACGAAGACGTGGACCTGCATAGGCGACTTTTGTCATAATATTCAAATACGAAACTTGAAACAAAAACCGCTGAATAATGTACTTAAAATCATCAAAATACCTAATACAGGGAAGTACCGTTATATCGGGGCTATACGAAGACCTGGACCTGCATAGACAATGCTCTGTCAACAGTACCTATTAGAAACTTAAAATACTAAATTTCGGTGAATATTGTACCTAAAATCGTCCAACTACCGAATATAGGGATGTACAGATATATGGGACCTATAGTATCCATTACGCACTCTAAATACGCAATTTGAGACAAATCCGATGAATAATGTCGCTAAAATCATAAAAATACCGAATCTTCGGGGTACCGTTATATGGAGGCCATACGAAGACGTGGAACTGCATACACAATTTTTTGTCATAGGTAATACCAATTACGAATGCTAAATACGAAATTTAAAACAACTGTTATCCCCAAAATCGTCAAAATATCGAATATCGGGTGTACCGTTGTATGTGGGCTCTATGTTGTATGTGGACTATACGATATCGGGACCTATATAGACATTTCTCTTCCAGGGTTAAATGCTTTGAAAGAACGTGTAGTATGAATTTTTAGACAATTCCATTGAAAAATGTAGCTGAAATCATCAAAATACCGAACGTAGGGAGGTACCGTTATATGGGGATATACGATATACGTTTTCAGAATATTTCATTGAAAAATTTGACTACAATCGTCAAAATACCGAATATCGGGGGGATACCGTTTTACGATATCGTGGACCGATTTAGCCCATCTTCGAACTTGTGCAAAATTTTAGCTTCCTACCTTTATTTGTTTTGACTCTAGCGTGCTCACAGCAAACGGAGAGACGGACGTACAGACAGGCCTAAATCGTTTTAGAATTTTACGATGATCAAGAATATATGTACTTTGTTATGTCTACAATTTTTATTTCGATGAGTTACAAACGGAATGACGAACTTAATATACCCTTCATTCTATGTATGGTGGTGGGTAAAAAATATCAACATTTGTGAGGGATATATAAGAAGGTATGGACCGATAAGTCGCATAATCACATTGACTACAGTGTGGGTAGAAATATTGAGATATACGAGGTTTGATCGCTTGAATATCGCTTTCGCATGTTATGAGAGATTAGTTATTCAACAAAATTGATACTTTTTAAGGTAGGTGCCTGGAGAAGTGGGCTGATGAGTCCCTTATTTATACTAGGTATAATGTAACCTAGGTATTCCTTGTCTTACCCCCTGGTAAACATTACCATCATTCTCCACTAATAAACAAACTTTGTTTTTATAAAAACAACAAAAAAGGGATTACGCCTGACCATTTTGGAACAACAAATTTACTTTCCATATATATCTTGTCCGATTTGTTTTATATTGTGTACCAAATGTGTAATATTAGGCACATGGGACCAAATTGAGCCTAGAAACAAGTAGGTCAAATTTTGTGGCGATTTGGTGTTTAAGTCCCCCATTTTGATAATATGCGCTCCACAACACTTATATTTGGTAGCACATATCTCATACAGTTCCGAAATACCTCTGTCAAATCAAATTGGTTGAAAATAAGTTAAGATATAGCTATAGGTGCCATATATTTGTTTCATCCGAATTTGTATTTAAGTCCTTCACACGCGGAAAAAGAACCACAAAACCAATTTTTGGTGGAAGCTATCAGCATAGCATACAGCATAGAAATAACATTGCTAAGTTCAGCTCATTTTTCCATGAAATATAAAATTTGTTTGGAAAAGTTTACACTGTATCCATGAAGTAATTTCAAAATCACGCTTAAATTGAATACCGCCCTAAAATGATTTTACTTATAAACCTGATTGTTGCTATCAAATGCAGAAATTAATTCACTTGAATTAGCGTCCAAATTTAAAATAGGAAGACAGTGGACAATTTTGAATGGCCGCTCTGTTCAGCCAACAACTGGTTCCCTAAATAACCACATATTGTACCTCTGCACATAACTTGAATTTCAATTTTAATTGTGCTCTCCCATTTCCATGGCTTTCGCACATCTCCCATCACACTGCTTCAGTTGGCCGAAAAAATGACGTTTGTCTTTTGCATTCGCTCTTGACAAAAAAAAAACAAAAACAATTCTATGGTCAAATTTTATTTAGATAATACCTCATAAACATGCACATGGAAAAGTTTCGCTTATTCACTACTCGGCTATAATTCTGGACACAAATCCTTTTGTATAGCTTAAGCACTTCAACGAAAAGATAAAACCATGCGCTAAGCTCCAGCCTTCAACGCTAGCTAGCGTTGTGACAAATGCTGGACCGAGAACAAAGGCGGATGGGAATGTGGGTGCGTAGACAGTCGGTGCGTTTGAGGAATCCTGACAACAGGCTTGTGTCCACCACCCCCCCACACAAAATGGTGGATTAACTGCAAAGTGAAATACGATGGCATAGAAACTTTTTCGAGACTTCTCCAACTGGCGTTGAGTTGGCATTGATGCCGTAGCTTAGGAACAGCCCAGGACAGCATCATGTTTTACTTTGTCTTCTCAATCCTCCAGTCACAAGCCCTGTCGCAGTTTCGGTTTCCAAGTGATACTCCTGATGAAGTGGTTGTGGCTGTGAAGGATTTGCTTGTTTTGTTTCCCTTTTGTCTTTTGTTTTGCTTTCCATCATGCGAACGGATAAATAGAATATACAAACAAAGAGGGAAACTAAGTTTATGCAAGCATTTTTGATTTGATTTGCATACGAGGCTGGAGCGGTCACTATTCCGAAATACGGAAACCATGTGAAGTGTGATGTAGGCGAAATGTGTAGCTGGAAAGTATGACGAAGAATCCTCAACACATTCGCCTCGTCGCAGCAGCAACTGAGCAACTGAGGATACTTTAAAGAAGAAGAAGAAGAAAAACTTTCACAGGAAGCACGAACATTTCAGCATCCTCTTTGTTCAATTTTCGGTTGTTGAAGTCAGAATTGTAGTTTTCTGTTGCTGGGTTTTCCCTCTACTATTGCCACGTCCGGTACGGGGGTGACAAAACACTTGTTATTTCCGTGGGAACTCCGCACAAAAAAGCGAGCATTTTCATTACGAGCTACTACAATCAACTCGATTTACTGTATCCACATCTCCAGTTCCGTCGTATTCGTGCATTTAGTTCTTGTTAACCATGTGCTGGTCCACAAATCTTGGAATGGAAATAAGTCATTTGTGTATTTTTTTTCCATCGGGCGGAACTATATAACATGCGAACAAAGAGGCCATAGGTAATAACATAATACTTTGTGGATGGTAATTTTTGATATCCCTTATATACAAATGTATGATATTTTACAACTCTTCAAAAATTGTCAAATTTATGGACTAAAAAAACGCCCTTTATAGGTATTTGGAGTCGCATTCTTCACGTAATTCTGTTATCAATTTTACTAATAATATTGAATCTCATTGAGTTTCTGTTAGTTGAAAAACTCTCTCTATATAACTGAGAGTAATGTGGAGCTAAGCAGGTGGGGGCTAGACTACTACAAGTGCGAGTGAATTACACGAAAACGTTGATCGTTGCTGATCTCTCATACCCACTAAAAACTCATCATAAATCCAATACATAATCTATTATTATTTTAAAAAGAGCATATCAAATGTTGTTGTTGTTCTTATCAACAAAGAATAATTTTCTCTAAACCTATTTTTGAGCATGAAATGTGTACTTATTTCGCATGGACTGGTCTTTTTATAATAATAGGGAGCAATCCCATTTATACTGATTTGCAGCGTGGTTATAAAAAATTGAACTCGACTTCCTTCAAGTACGTTCAACGTTATATGAATGCATTTCAGGAAACCACTTTTTTTTTAAATGGGTGACGCAGAGCCCCTGTAATTTTTACTAACATTTGCCTTGCTGTAACTAACTTAAATACTCTAATGTTTTATACCAGCAAATGTGGCTGTTTACAATGTCAAATAGAAACCACTCCCCTCGATTCTATGACAAAATTCTTTGAAAATATTCCAAATACTTAAAATCCGAAGATGATCTTATTTGGATAAATAGTAGCTATAGAACATTTTTGGCTATAGAACATTTTTGGAAAGAAGTTCAACACAATTATTCGATGGGAATTGTTTTTGAAATCAAAAATGCCGAAAATCAGTATTGGGGATATACCTAAACGAAATTAGACTAAATGCATTGGTAATTTTAAAACTCTACAAAACAAGTTAAAAAATATATGTTGGTTTTGCCGACATATTCATACCTTCAGCCTTGCGTTGTGATTATTCCAACTGTTGACCCTTTACGAGGGAGGTTCCGAAGGAGTTGGACATAAGTCTGATAGGTATATAACGTGTAACGTGTTCGATTTGGACTATATCAACTACTTCCTTCACATCTTATGAATATTCCACATCGTCTAATGTTTTTTTTTTTATCAAAATGTTGAACTTTTGAGTGGAAGATGCCAGAAAAAGAGGGTCAACTGATCACATATTTACTATTCTTTGATTGAGAGAGTTAATTGGATACTTACAAGTTATGAGAGTTATAAATAATTAAAATTGTTACCCTTCGTGGGGAGGTTCCAAAAGGGGTTGGACAATATCTATCAACTTTACACCAAATCTTGTGTTAGTAAAAATATTGGAACATGTGAAATGTAGAAAGAATCAATTGCTAATTTCGCAGTTTATGAGCGTTTTGTTATTAAAAATATCATCAGACCAGGTTTTTGCCAGCAAAAATATTGGGATATATAAAATTAAAAAAAAAATGATGCATATTTCGCTTTTATGTGCATTGTATTACTCAAAATTTTGAGCCCTCTGTGGGGGAGGAACTAGAAGGAGTTGATCGATATCTACCATCTTGCGTCTATAGAAATATTGGAACATGTGAAGTTTAGAATGAACCAGATGCTTATTTTGCATTTTATGAGAGATAAAATTATTCAAAATTTTGATCCGTTGTGTTGAAGGGATCAAAGGGAGTGGTCTGACACATTTCATCTTCATATCAAATCTATTGTTGGTGAAAATACTGAGAGGCGCGAAACTTGAAGACAATCGTAATCTTATTTCACATTTTATAGGGGTTATAATTATTTAAAATGTTGTGGGGAGGTACTTGGTCCATATTGTCCATTTTGACATAACACTAATACAAATATTGAGATTAGCAAAGTTTGCACAAAACTTGATGATCCTTTCTGGTTCGATGAGGTTAATTGTTTTGTATGAAATTGTTGAACTTTTGTGGGGGAACTTCAAGTGTCGCTCATCTCCGAAAAAAAGTTTGACAAAATCGGATACTCCGTGAGCACCAGCCAGTCAGACAGAATGACGGATTCACCTAGATCGACTCCAAAAATTCTGATTGATTTGGTCCAATGAGACCTAGGATCTAAAACCATTATTTCGATGAGGCACATTTTGGCAGTATCAAATGATATATATCCTCTGTAGCCGTATGGCTGAGGATAGAAAAATGTGTACCTAAAAATAATTTGCTATTTAGATTGGGAATTTAACCTTGAACTGTCGAGGTGAGGACGTATTTTATGACGTGGTGGTAAATTATTTTAAATATTTATATGTTTGTATTATCATCCAAAATTATAAAAACACACCTAAAATTGGTGTTTCTCTTCTGCATTCCTCTTCCTTCTACACACGAGTCGTAAAGCCACTTTTCTATAGATTCCTAATTATTAGAATTAAGCAAAATTTTTTGTTTTTCGGAGAATTTAGAATTGGACCGCCAAAGTTTAGTTCATAACCCTAGAAAATACTCATACCCCAAGTCACAGTGCAATTGCTACAAAAAGCAGCTGCTCAATTCAATTGACGTATTATGATTTGGTCTTCTTTGGGTCTAAAATACAAGACTCAAGAGCATTGCCTTAATGTAAACCAACAATATATAGTGGTTTATTTATTTTTGCTAGAATCGGCGAAAAAGTGGTCCTAAAATATATATACGATAATTTAAATTTAAAGCAGAACATCATTTTATAATACTTCATATAATAACAAAATGTCTATGTAGTTGTTGTTTTATTTTTTTTGTTTTATACTCCAATCTTTATTTCATTATAATTTTACTATTGTATTGTAGTGGAACCTGAACAACCTACCGAACCTGAAAAGAAAGACAAAAAGGGCAAAAAAGGCAAGAAAGGTGGCCAGCCACCGGGTAAAGAGGCAAAGGCGTCAGCACAAAGCAAGGGTAATATTCATTAATATGTGGTTAACAACATGCCGATGCTTCTAATCAAAATGTTTGTTATTGCGATAGGACCCAAAAAGGATTCGGGACGAGAAAGAGGTGGCGGAGATGACTTTGATGCTGGCATCGATACGGGTGTCGACAGCGCAGGCGATGACATTGGAGCGGAAAGTGTAAAAAGTTCTGCATTATCGGGTAAGTTGTGTGCTGTAAATAGCTTCTTTGACTTCCATTCAAAAAACCATATTCTTCCACTCAACATGCAGCCAGTGATGATGACGACGAAATTGGTAATTACAACAGACAACTTTTTCTCTAATCTTTGCTTAATTCTCTCCCTCTCTCTCTGAGCGAATTTGAAATCTAAATTTGTTTGTTTTATGTTTTAATTGAAATTGTCACTGCGTTATCATTCGCTATCTTTTTTGTTCCATTTTATTCATTTTTTATTTACACTTGAGGAGGCATTTCTGCGAATATCTTTTGCTGCCATTGTTGGCAAGTGTTTTAGTTTATTTTCGCTCGCAAAGGATAAGAAATGATTTATGTATGTAACACGTAACGTTTCTTTTTTCGCTGCTGTTTTTTTTTCTTTTTTGTTACTGGCTCTTCTACTGCCATCTTTCAGCATTGTATGATTTCTTTTAATTGTGAAAGTTTTTCATTTCATATAATTTTTCTTTTCTTCTTCTTCTGCTACTGCTACTGCTCTCGTCATTCATTAATATTTAAAAACCTCATTAATGCAAAAAGGATAGAAATGGTTTCTTTTATCCAAATTACAAATTTACGCTTTAACCCATTCAGGCAAGTGGAAACTCATGTGAAATGGCAGCAGTCAGTTGGGGGGAGGGGGAGTCTTACGTCGAGAATGAAGCAAAGCCATGATGCATCAAGAATTTAAGGGATTGACATTTCAGCCCGCCTACTGTCTTTGGCTCTGTGCGTGTGTGTGTCAGTGTTTTTTATTGTAGATAGCTTACGGAGCAGTCAAGCTATTCGGAAGTGTTCATCAACCTCAGGAGTTCCGAAATTACTTGGTTGCATAAAATGGAAATTCATGACAGAATCCATCAGAATTTCAATGATTTCCACAAAGCCAAACAAAAGAAAAGGGCAAGCTAATCTTTGGAGGGTCTTGGTCACAAAAAAGAAGAAAAAAATGCATTTAATCGAGGACATGCAATTTTCAATAGCTGGACAAAAATTAAAAGTTATAACAGACTCAATTCGAGAAGGCTTTCTTCTTCTCGTCCGTCACTGCCCCGCACAGAGACCGAGATGCAGTAACCCTGTTTCCAGTTTATTTTATTACTGCATTCATCTTCTCGGAAAATGTCTACAAAAAGAGCAATGATGCCAGGAGAATCTTTTAATTTCAATATAAATTACTTTTCATTTAAAAGCTGCCAAAAAAGCAGTAATAAGACATCCAACCAAAAAGGGGAACAAACTATTGGACGTTTATTTGTTTGATTGTAGTTAGTTTGGAAATGTTTGCACTCTGTTAGTTATTGGAGGGTAAGAGTACTTTATAGGAATGATAGCATTTTATAACTTAAATAGATCGGAGGGTTGTCCCCAATTGTAAAGGAATTGCAATGTTCTTTTTGTTGTTGTTGTTGTAGCAGTTTTACACGTTCTGTTGTTTTTTCCGACTAATCTGGTTCTTCCTCAATGTCCAGGTTTAGGAATTCTGCTACCTTTATGGGCTGTAGCCATAGATCCTCTGGACGGAGTTGGGTAGGTTTGTCAGGACAATTAAACAAGTGCAGCGTGTTGTGCGGGCCTGTATCTCACGCTGGGCAGGCGTTCCGCACATCCTCATCAATTCGTGCCCAATACGAATTGAGACGGCTGCACCATCCTGAACGTAGTTGGGCCAAAACTACCCTGGTTTGCCTAGGCAGCCGACGTTCTTCAGCTGCAATGGATGGGGGGTGGACTCCGAGTATGGCATTCATACTGTAATCATTAACTACATCTGTGACTGCATCAGTATGAATGCTATTCAGACCCGCTTGATAGGCTTCATGATCTAGAGGCTCTCTCTTATATCGCTGGACCTCTCTCTCTAGATCGTGCAGGTCCTTCCTGACACGCCTGGGTGGAGGAGTTCTATCCACCATATGGTGGTTAGGGTGACTCCCGCGATAACACCCAAGCAGGTACTGCAACGAAAGCATATGATTATGCTGACGTAAGGGAAGAACCTTCGTCTCCTCATGTAAGTGGTCCACAGGTGTCATGAGGAGGCACCCTGTTGCAGTTCTCAGGGCGGCATTCTGGCAGGTCTGAATACATTTCCACTGCGTTGCACTTGTATTCGCCGACCACACTGGAGCCGCATAGCTAACCACAGACCGACCTATCGCTTTATAAGAGGTCAACAAGGTTTCCTTATCCGCACCCCAAGTGCTGCCGGCTAGCGCCTTGAGGACCTTGTTCCTACTTTTCATTTTATCGTAAATAGCTGTGGCTTGCGCGGAAGACTTGAACATGCTATCGAATGCGACCCCAAGGATTTTGGGGTAGTTGGTGGTCGGAATTATATGCCCCTCGACCTGCACATTCAGCTGTGTTCTCATCTCCGCAGTCCATGTGGTAAATAGTGTAAATATGCCTGGCTTTGTGATTTCGCCGGGATTTAAAATATTCGCAGTTTAATGAAAAATTTTGGATTTTTCAACAAAAAAAATATGGTCTATTTTAGCCGCTAAATATTATCCGATGACCACCCAAATTGGTAGGCTTCTTCCCCGCCTTAAACTCTAGCTACATGCGAAATTCCGCGTCGATTGGTCTATAATTGCGACCTGTATATCTACTGCAAAATCCGACATTTTTTCAGTATTTGGTCCATTTCAACCCCTAAACATTTGGCGATCATCTCCAAAAGAAATAGGGTTCTATTCTGACATTAACCCCACCTACATTTTAAATTTCGTGAAGATAGGGCCATAATTGCGACCTGTAGAGTGATTACAAATTAACATGGACAGACGGACGGACGGACATTCATAGCTAGATCGACTCAGCTCGGCGAGTTAGGAAGATCCATATATACTTTCCTATGGGGGAAACCAATATTTCGAGGTGTTACATAAATTCTGGCCCAATCAAACTTATAATACCCCCAACACATAGTGTTGTAGGGTATAATCATTAAGTTCGTCCAGGCCAAAATTTCAATATTGAAACAAGTAAAAAACATTCAATTCAGCCGGGCCGAACTTTTAAACCCCTTTACCATTGGGTGAAGAAAACATTTTTATATTAAAGTATCTGAATTCCAACGTGTTCCATGCTGTTAAACTTAAAAAAAAAAACCAAAAAAGTGTGTGAGGCCTTTATATGGGCGCCATACTTCAAGGATTGTAATCTACCAAATCTTCTTAAATACCAAATTTGAAATAATTTCGTGGGTAAATATGACTACGATTATCAAAATACCGAATATCGGGGGGTATCGATCTGTGTTCGCTATGGGAAAATATGGACACAAATATTCAATGTTCTGCCACCGGAGCTAGAACCCATTATGACCTACAAATACCAATTTTTAGACAAATCCGTTAAAAAATAGGGCAAACATTATCAAAATACCGAATATAGGGAAGTACCGTTATATAGGGGCTATACCGAAACATGGATCTATACATATTAGGTTCCGCCTCCGGCGTGGAAAATTGTTGCAAAAATCATCAAAATGCAGAATATCGGGATGTACTGTTATATGGGGTCTATATAAAAACATGGACCTATATATACAACGTTTCGCCACCGGAACTAGAACCCATTATGAACTACAAATACCAATTTTTAGACAAACCCGTAAAAAATAAGGTGAAAATCATCAAAATACTGTAAAATCATCAATACCAAAATATGGACCGAATTATCTCATTTTCAATACCAACCATCCTAGACACAATACAAATTGTTCTGCCAAATTTTGAAGCTCTACGTCAAATAATGTGGACTGTATCGTGTTTTCAACAAACAGGCGGACATCGTTTAATCGACTTAGAATTTAATGCTAATCATTATATATATATATATATATATATATGTACTTTATGGGGTCTACGATGAATATTTAGGGTTATTACAAATGGAATGACGATCAACAAATACAAAATTCTTGACAAAGCTGTTCGAAAATGTGGATAAAATCGTCAAAACACCGAAAATCGGGGGGTACCGTTAAATGGAGGCTATACGAATTAATGGACCTGAATCAAACATTTTTTGCACGAAGAGAACACACCTACCGAGCACCCCAATTGTCAAGTCTCAGCTAATTTGATCGGAAATATCGGCTTTCAAAATACCGCAAATTTGGAGGTATCGTTATATGGGGCCTAAACATAAACCTGGATCAATATAGCTCCCTTTTAATACCCATCAGCATGCAGACAATATAAACCTTTGTGCCAAATCTCTAAGTGCTAGATTATTTATAAGTTTTTTTTTTTTTTTTTTTTTTTTGAACAGGAATATATATAATTTCTGGTATCTCCGACGATTATTTCGAGGTGTTGCAAAATAATAACCCTCCATTGTATGGTGGAGGATATAAAAATAAATTATTCAAACCTTCTTTCTATATCCCCAGATAGATCAATTCTTATATAATGAAAATCTGGCAAAAATATGTAAATAAAATTGTTGTCAATTAAATATTTTTAGTTATATCCAAGCTAATTTATTTAGAACTTCTTTCTATATACCTACATTAATCTGCTGAAAAGAACATTGCGACATTTGTCATCCCAAAGAAGTGTTTATGCTACACCTACCTACAACTTTCTTTTTATATTTTTTTTTTTTTTTTTTATCGTTTCACTAATTCCCCCACCTCATGTCCTAACTTGACTGTAATACTTCCCGTAATCATTGCCAGCAACGAGCGTTTTACACGTTATTCCAATGTAAATAATGTTGACATGCCAAATTAATTCATTCGTGTCTCATTCTTTGGTACATCCACTCAGTCGTTGCTGTCGTACAATTTTGCATTCTCTTCGCCATGTCTTCGGTTTATCAACGGTTATCTTTGTTCCTATGTGAATTATAATCTATGTTTGTGGCTGTATGTTTTCCAGGGTCCAAGAAAAGCGGCAAAGGCAAGGGACGTAAGAAGAAGCGCAAGACAATCCAGGCCCCAGTCCCGGTCTACGTGGAAGTCAAGGTAAGGACGGGCTGACACCACTTCATTTTGCGAGACAACGCACACAACGAATTATTTCACGCAAATGCTGATAGAAGTCTCAGTGTAAATATTTATTCAGTAATTTGGTCGCATTTAGTTGTCCGCCATTAGAGGTAGGGCCATTCTAACACAAGTACACACGGACAAAGACATAATCGTAAAATAAATCTCAATGTTTGCCTGTATGCCTTCACTTTTCAAAGCGAACATTGCTTCTATGGCATCGAGGTTTTGCTATGTCGTCACAAGGACAAGACATTAATTCTTTGGCAGAGAATGGAGCTAAAAGTTACAAAATCGTTCATAGAACGTTTTGTGTAAAGCGAACAGTATTTGAATTAAGTTTTTATGTCTCTCATATTCATATCATATCTTGTCCCGGTACCACTCAGATATGTTGCATCTAATTAGCCAACACCAATTAGAATATGTTACAGAGTATGGCATAATGAAGAGACACATTGTTTTGTTGAGAAATTCAATCAAAAGAACATTCACACCTGCCTACATATGTATGTGCATATGTGTTGTTATCTGTTCGTATTTCGTTGTTTATTTTTCATGAAGGGGAATTCACATCCCAAATCAATTCATTATGACATTCGTTTCGACAAGATATGCGAGTGTATGGGTATGGCGATGTAAATAAAATACTACTGTTGGGAATGAACACATTCACGTATACACCTGCAATTGGCTCTTATACACTCACTTAAACATATGCACACACACACACATACCCGTACATAAACTAATATCTAATATCGAACCGACAACCGGCTTAGCGGAGAAACATTTAAATCTCAAAGGTGTATAAAAAATGATTGCAATGAATATTCTACACGGCTACACATTCATACATGTTATTACACTAACACAGCCACAAAGGATATGAAATGCGAAAAAGAGGCAACAAAAAAAAAAACAAGAAAATAAGCGGCAACATTGCAAATGAAATACGATATGGTATGGGAGCGAGTTCATATTGTATTCGAATGATTTACAGGTATTGAAAAGCAGAGACTCTCACACCTGTCGGGTCCTCATATGTAAAGTAATTCTGTTTCGCGCTCCCCGACACTGCGTAGCATCCTTCCCCTCGCCACTCCGCCCCCAGAAGTGTATGAAATATTTATTTTTGTTTGGCGTTTTTCTTTTCACAAATTCAATACTGATTTCTCTTGGTTTCGTTACAGAAAATCATTCCAACATTTGTAAAGACCCCAATATTGCATTGCCACTTCGGGGAGCTGAGCTGCACACAGTTCGACAACAATATCAAATATGTGTATATGATACGTAAAGAAGTTAACGGAATACGTAAGTATTGAACGGCGATTTTTTTTGTATTTGTTGTTTATTTAAGATTGTGATTTTTGACACGTTATCAATACCTGGTACACGGGATGGGGTGGATAGTAGAATGCAATTGAATATTTATTGCGAATGAAAATGGGGAGTACTTCTTCGAATCTTTAATAATTCTATTAAATAAAAATGTATTTAATCTGCCGAACAAAAATATTATTTTGTTATCATCAATTGGCGGAGTAGGAACGGAATTTAATTTAAAAATATAAATTTAATTCGTCATGAAATTCCCTACTTACGGCAAATTTTGAGTTGGAATCATTTGAAATTGAATTTGATAAAGAATTTTTGATTATTCAAATCCTTAGGTTTCCAACTCTACCCGTTCGCTCAAAATGTAAATTGTACTGAATTTAGTACACATAACTACGAATTTCCAAAACTTCCTACAATATAATAATATTTTATTTCCAAATGTTAGTATACTAACTCTACCCATTCCCTCAAAATGTAAATTGTACCGAATTTAGTACCATTTAGTACACATAAGTACGAATTTCCAAAACTTCCTACATACCCCAATCATACAATGCAATAGTAATTTTATCTGCAAGTTTCAGTATCCAACATTATCACATCACCCAAATCGAAATTGTTTCACATTTAGTACCATTTAGTACTTTCCGTGCACATAAGCACAAATTTTAAAAACTTTCTCCATGTTCCAATCCTAACTCCACCAGTGTGATTAATTTTAATTTTTTGGATTCCATCCGTTCCTTGTACCAAATTTAGTACCTTTAAGTACTCTTCGTATACATGAGTACTCATTCATTTCAATAGCTCCATACATCGACCCTACTCCTCAACCTTAATTCCCATTCTAAATTTCAAGTTTTTAGCTCTAACCGTTCAAATAATGCAAAATAGTACCAAATGTAGTACGTTTTGGTACTTTTCGTACACTTATAGTGTGAATTTCAAAAAACCCAGCATTCATCCTACACTCTATCGGTGGTCTTTATTCGAAATTTAATAGTTTCAAAGGGATTCCGCATAAATCTACTCAGAATGTGACTTAATAGAAATCATAAAAAGGAACTATAGGTTTATCTAATTTCCTTCCCTATACCCCAGTACAGTACCATAAGGCACTGTAATTCGGACTGGTATTTACACATCGAAGTATGATATGTCTATGGACTAGTTTGTCCATTTTTTCTCTTTCTACCTAATATCAGGTCAAAATATCCACCGATTTGGCTCATGTTTTTCCCAAATTCCAATTGTACCAGAAATCCTAAAAATGTGAAATCGGAATAGTTTTAACATTTCTAAGTCTCTGGTTTAGTACATCACTAAGATATAGAATTTTTGTAAAATCGGAAACTCATATAAATTTCTGTATGACTCTGTAACCCGAACATACAAAGTCCCAGGTGATTCAATTAACCAAATTCAGATTACGTTTCACAATACTAGGATATATTTTTTACTAGCCTTCGTAACAATTGCGATTTTTGATGTATTTTCATAAATTGCAAGAACAAAAAAAAACCAACATTTCATTATAATAATTGTATTTTTTTTCTATAGCCTTCTATTCCGATATCAATGCATGTTTTGCTGAAATGCCGCAATACTTCATCTTTGGTACTGTAAGAGGAGAATTAATCAAGTCAATGAGCCAAGACGTTGAAATGGTAAGATACTGAAATAGTCCTCTAAAAACAAAAATATATTTTATTATTTATTTACTGTTACACCTCCAAAGCTTGGTGTAGGAACATTAAAAATATTAGTGTTCGTAGTTTGTCTTCCAGTGACGATCCCTTTATTTTGCAATCAATTTGAGGCTGGAATATGTTGAATTAATCACAAAATCATCAAATGATTTTCCTACCCCCTTGACACCCCTAAAATGGATGTAATGGGTTAGCTTCAGCAACAGTTCCATGAAATTGACGTTGAAAGCAGAGTGAGCCACTCTCGCATCAATTTACTAATGCAGTGAGGAAAATATTGTAATTAATTCCCCACTCTTGTTGCCACGTAAAACCGCTAGGAGAGCATAAACATTATTAACCATCTATCAAAGTGCCGCAAGGGTATTTGCCACTTGAGAGCATTTTTAAGTGTTGTTCCATTAGGACATTGAAAAATAAAGGCAAAAAAGCTAGCAGGCCCAAGAGTTTGCAAATGACAACTGCGGCAGCTGTTGTGAAGATTATCGATAATCTTCGTTGTTTCCTTGTTGTTTATATATTTATTTATAAATAGGAAAATATATTAGTTAAGAGGACATTGCCAAAAGGCAATGAAGAAAGGTTTTCAAAAATGTCCATCTCCATCTCCAAAATTGAGCCAAGTTAGAAAGATACAGATAAATTGTTTTGTTTCGCATTGTGTGATTTAAATCCATTAATGAAACAAGTCATTAGGGTGGTAAATAGGTCGAATACATATCACATTTTCAACAAAGTCAAGAGGGTAAGCAGAGATGGGACAATAGTTTTTTCCAGTGCATACAAATACCAAGATATCCATACAGGTGGAGGCTTTAAGTATGTCTGTTCTACATTCTTGCAGTTTCTGGAATGAAAGAAATCAATAGTGAAATATTTTATTAGACTATATTTTAGCGGTTATAAACAAGCGACGATTGTAATATAAAATGCCTTGTTTACTGCTATTTTGTTCAATTATTTCCTCGCTTTTTTGCAGATCTTTAAAAAGGCGATTGAACTTCAATTTCGTGAGCCGAAATTAATCGAAGGCAAGCACATGGACAATTACGAGTCACAAACAGCGCCTGAAGTTGGCGCAGAAACGACCGAAGTGAAGGATACAGCACCCGGTCTATTAGAGCTGGCCAAGCCATCGGAATTTCGTTTAAAAGCTCTTAAGCAAAAGAGGTATGTAGAACATCAACTTTACGGTAAAATGAGCGGTAAACAGAAATTACCCACTACAGAAGGCTACTTACTGGGAGATACTAAACGGCAGCTTTTTTATATTTTTACGCATTCCTGGTTTGTGCCTTGAACTGTTGGTTTTATTTTTTGATTATATATTTGGTTTGGCCCATCCAGTGCTTTGTCCGCTAGTCAACATTGTTTATCAATATTTTTTTGTTGGGAAAACAAGTGTAGGCCAACCCAGCAAACAAATTGAGAACTAACGAATCTGTCAGTATACACTATAAGAGCATCTCAATTGTATATAGGTTCATGTCTAGTAATCTGTCGATAAATGATACCTCTAGGAGCCACTAGAGTCGAATAACTCATTGCAATGTAATGTCTATTGCTTTAAAAGTACATTAAAAATAATGTGTTATTAAATTTACAAAATGACTTTAGCCGCTGAAAATCTTTGCATAAGCACTAGTTGGCCTGACATTAACTTCTTATTTCGTGGGTCATGGTCTGTTAAAATAATGGGTCGACAAATACAATTTTTTAAAAATTAAGGGGAAATCCAGCAGCTTATAAAAGTAGAGCTGAAAAAAGACACGTATCGGAGTTTTAAAAGTTTATATTGAAAACTAATAGAGGGCAACAGCAACCAAATAGATCACTTTAGGAAATTTTCGGATTTAAGTTACTCGGAATTCGTACATTTTATAAAAACTATTGCACCAAGAAAAATAATTTATTCCGAGGTTTGTAGTAAAACTTGGTGTAAAATTTTTTTTTCATTAGACACATTTCGCCTAAAATGAAAAAAGCCCTGAAAAATGATAAAAAATTATTTTTTTTTGGGAATATTAATGCAAATATTTTTTATACCCTACACCACATAGTGGTAAGGGTATTATGTCTTTGTGCATTTGTTTGTTTGGCAGCGAAATAGACCCATATTTACTTTTGAGGACCTTCATAGAATTACTTGCAGAAACGATTTATGCATGTCAGTCCATGTGTCCGTCCGTCCGTCTGTTCATTTATTTTTGTGAACAAAATGAATGGACGAACCCTTATTGAAATCGGTTTAAATTTAAATATAGCTTCCGGTTATTGTGCCTCAAATGACCAATATCAATCAAATTGACCTTTTTGACACATCCGACCTAATTCAGTTTAGAAGCAAGTAAATGCAAATTTGAGAAATTCGGTCTAGATTAGCTATAATAGCCATATGTGTGTTTCATCCGATTTGGTTTCAAGTCCCTCACATGCTAATATGCATTCCACAAGAATGATATTTGTTATCGAGATCGGATCAGGGTATAGCTCCCATATTTATATCTTTATCCGATATCAGGTTTATTGTGCACCAAATTCCGACTGAATTTATCCTAGAAATAAAAACTTCAAATTTGGTGAAATTCAGTTCAGATATAGCTATATCTCCCATATACATATTTTATCCGATTTGATGTTTAAGTGTTACGACCCTGTTTTTATTATTTGAAAAAAAAAAGTACAAGAAAGACCCCTTTCGTTGACTCGCTTTAGGGCCAACCTTTCTTACCAAAATAATCTTCGTATTTTTATCTGCAGTATTGCCGAAGATGCTATATACCTAAAATGTACAGATTCCGAGGAATCTTAATCCGGAAACTTCCAAAAGTGTGCAATAGGAAGGAACTATCCCTCTCTATTTAGGTTACTTTTCAAAACGCCGATACACTTTTTTTAGCTCTACTTTCATAATTTGCTGGATGTGTGTTGTTAGTACAAGACAATAACTCTTATGCTGTTATCAACAGATCAGATCAACAGACCGGACTGACTTACGCAATTACGAAATTAAAAATCGATTTGAAAATCCATTAAAAACTATTTCTGCCACAACCAAATCAGCTAAAAAAATGCCTTACAAAAGTATTAGTGTTCTGCCCCAGAACCTGGAAGAAGTGTTTATGTTATATACGATATAAACCGAAACATATAATCTGGTTTCAAAATGTCCTCCACATTTGTTACTGGTCAATATGTGTATATTGGGCAACCAAACCAAACGCCGGCCTTTGTTTTTATACAAATACCATGGTCTCTGGTCGGTTTGTTACGTATGATGTATAAATTACAATAAACCATCTGATAACAGAGAAAGTTGCTACTCGGCTATGCCAATTTTTTTCGGAATATACTTTTCGCCTTTTTTTCTTGGTCTTCAACAGTTTTAATCGGATTTTTTGCTACTCTTTTGCAATTAAGTTCGTTTTTTGTGTTTCCCCCTCAGTTTCCTGGTATTTTCTGGCTCTTTGGCATTTTTTGTTCGAACACAACAATTTCTTTGTGAAATTTAAGTTGTTATGCTCGAATCCTGGTGTGATACAAACAAACCGACAAACGAAAAAGTGAATGAATTCACGAATGAACGCGCCAACGAGCCACGAATATTGTTTGGTGCAACTTGCACATCAAACCATCCATCCATCCATCCACCCACCCCTCATCGTCGTCATCATCATCGACAAAGACTGCAACAATAGAGGCACTTTGCTTGAATCTCTCATACCCGAAAAATATCAATAAATCAGAAGAAGCTGTGTGCGAGTGTGTGTGTATGTGTGTGTGCGAATATTTAATTGTGTATACGACGCTCCCGTTGTAGGAGATTTATTTTCTTTATTTGAATGACTTTTTTATTACAACAGAACGAAAAGATTCTTTGTGATTGATATTTATTCTTAAAAATGTTATAATGAAAGTATTTTTATAACATCTTCATACTTATAATGTAGAGCCGTTAAGGATTTAAATTCCAAGAAAGGTGGAACATATGTAAATAAATTCAGAGAAATATATATCTTGCATTAGTTGGTTTGCAAACTTGAAATTTTGGTAAACATTTGCAATTGCCTGCCAGATTTAATAAGCTTCTTGTGAGCGTAAGATAATTCTAAGCAACTAATATGATTGAAGAGTAAATTCAACAATGTTGTTACAAAAAATATAACAGAAATCTTAAACCTCCTTGTCGTATCCATGGCCAACCATTTCGATTGAGTTTTCAACAATAATCCCGTTAGATTCTGGATTTCTTTGTTTTGGCAATTCTTTTAAATAGCTATCCTTTATACCCTCCATTTTGTCTTTTTTTTTCCTCTTTTGTATAGATGAGGGTAAATGAAATATACATATCTTTTTTCATTTCGCTTATCAGCGGGAGCCTTTATTACTTTTGTGTTAATTTGTTGTTTGTCCGCTGTTTTTTTTTTTTATTCGTTACGTTCCGTTTTGCTTCTCATTCCCGTAATTTCGTATTTGCCGGTTTTAATTTATAACCCAACCGTTTCGTTTGCCTCTGTCTATCCAGACATGGCACAACACGGGCTAACCTTTTTTTATATGGTCCTGCCGAATAAAATCGCCCATCGCGAAGACCTGTGTCTGTGTGCTGGCTAAATCTGGCCAAGAGTGTTTGTGTGTAAACAGTGGCTTTCATTCGTTTGCCTGTCAACATATAAACCCTTTTCTTCACTGATTTAACAATAATTATTATTGGATTGTTTCATGAAAATTGTTTTCCCCACCAACAACTACAACAATGACCATACCACCGAATGTTGCCAAAACAACAATTTCAAAACAAAAAAAAAAAAAGGAAAATGGAGAAATTAGCTGAAATACGAGCACAGGAAGCCAAGAAGAAGGCGCTCAGAAAAGGAGGCATCGAAGGCGGGGAGACGTCCGGTGGTGGCCATACTAATAACGATGGCCAATTATCTAGTCAAAAGCAAAACGACGAAGACGAGGAAGAAGAGGATATTTTATCGGACGATCAGCAGAAGGACAAAATGTCAAAAACATCGTCCGAGGAGGATGTGGGTGAGTAGCACGTCAACAGGGGTAAGATGCTCTTTGTTCCGATATCTAATAGTATGACAAACTTTCCAAGCTGTCAGAGATCATAAAGTGTGACATCAGAATATCAGTATTGTTTTTACTGCTGTAAAATGTAGTTTGACACTTATTTCCCACCCTAAACTTAACATACCACACTCGTTAGTGAAACATTATATACATAACAGAAAAACCTCCGCTCCAAACGGAAATCTAATTATCTCAAGTAAAAAACAAACAGTTTGTGGTCAACTCAAATAGGGAAGAAAAGAAAAGGTCAAACGAGATAGAGGAAAAAGAAACAGTTAAGGACAAGGCAACACATCTTGATAGGCAAAAAAAAAAAAACAAATCCAGAAAATTAGATTGCGTCAATAAAACGGAAACGGAGGAAATTTGGAATTGACAAAAACCATAATTGGCATTAAACATTTCTCTTTTCTCGGCAATCATTTGATCTTCGCCCACTTGTCCTTAACGCCCATTAATCGAATCAGTGGAACAGCCGGATGGCAAACTTACCATTGGCGAGCGATGGGAGAGATTGTTGAAGGAAACCCACGAGAAAATAGAATGTCGTCGCCGGGAAACCGAAAATGTCAAAGAGAAATTGCCACCTCATCAAGAGGCCTTATTTAATCAATTAAAGGATTTCGAACAGGAGGTAGAATGGACCGTCAACCATATTGTATGGGCATTCAATTTGCCCACATCATACACGGCCCCGGGCCAGGAGGATGTCGAGTTCGAAGAGACGAAGGTACGCATTCCCATTGATCCCAAAAGAATAAACCTGATTCCCACCTACACCCAAGACCAATTGGAAGATGTGGTCGAGGGATGGATGCGTTACATAGAGAAGCGAATAAAGGCGCTAAAGGAAAAGGTAAGCCGGCCAAAATAAAAGGCAACAAAGAAAACAACCAAAGGCCATTTTTAAATTCCATTTTTCATTTTTGTCAAGCCTTTGGACGAATTCACCCCCATGGCCGAATATCGCCTGTGGCACTTTCGCGAAATAGAATTTAATGGAATATTGGAACAATTAAAATCCGAATTTGTTGTAACAGTTTTGGGTTAGTTGAGCATTAGTTACAAATACACCCTCGAACACATTCACATTGCATATTTTTCTCTCTCTCTCTCTCTCCAGATGTACTAAAGGCCAACAACTCAACTGTACTTGGGCGTTGGGCAGAGACCGTCAACAAAGTAGCCGAAAAGTTTCGCTTGGCCAAAGAAAATGCTGACTATATTGGCACAATAACCGATTACTTGGAGGTAATTCAAAACACAAACCCCCTACTCAACTGTCATTTTTTAAAGTAATCCATACCTGCATTTGATCTCCGCAGAAAATACGCTCCTACGAAAGTTTCAGGATGACGACACTGCTCATACCCAATGTTATGGTGGGCCTGCGTCACATATGGACCATGTCAAGCTATTACTGTCACGACGATAAAATGCAGACTCTGTTGTGTCAGATTTCGAACGTCTTTACGGAAAAGGTCAAAAACATTGTGTGTTTTGAGAAAATATTTCGGTAAGCAGTTATTTGCATAAGCATGCTCTGCGTTGGCATAAAAAAACGGGGCAAATAGTTTTGGATGCTATGGTGTTTCAGTAAATGTTTGCCTTTATAACTTAGATGCAGATTTTACAATATCCAGAATTTTTTTAAGCACTGGTGCTTATAGTTTTTCTTGATTTATTAGATCAATGGTGCAAATCATTAGAAAAATATTTACTTTATGAGAAAAAATAAATGTTTAGCTTAATACCATACCAATTTTCAAAGACAATTTTGGTTTTGGTCGGCCAGCTGATAGGTTTTTTTGCCGACGCTCTTGTTAGACAATTTTTGTTATACAAATTTGACCAAAAAGCAATTGTAGCATGACCTAAATGTTGTGAATGATATGTTGATTTTGAAGGATTTCCATCTAGTTTTGACAAAGAGTTTTGCAAAAGAGAATCGATTTAGTTAAACCTAACTTTTTATATATTAGAGGGTGTACTATTTTAGGTCTGGAAGAATTAACCACCTTCTCTACATCTTTAATAAAAAAACAGTTTTCTGGACAAAACTATTTCAAAATATATTCATAATAAAAATTGGCCTCCACCAACAATGATCTCAAAATGAAATTTCAAGATTCAAGCTCTCTCCATTCGCTCAACGGCAAATGTTTTACTATCTAGTACTTTTCGAACAATAATAGTACGCATTCCCAAATCCACCAGCTTTTGTTAAAACTATATACAGTGGTCTCCATGTCAGATTTCAGAATTCCAGTTTTATCCTAAAAGCCAATCCCAAATTTATTACCATACTTCTCGTACAGTTATACTATACATGTCCAAAATCACTTCCGTCTCTCCACCTAAGACTCGATACCTAATTTTAGAATTCATCAGGACGCCCTACGCAATTTTTCACAATTCGTACGTTCATACTGCTCACTTCCAAAAGCACCCTCATCTCTCAACTATAGGCACCAACAGTGACATTCATATTAAGCTTCAGGATTTCACCTCTATCCATTCACCAAATACCAAATATAGCATATACCGATTTCGAAAAAACATTCTGCACATCTCACCCTCAGATACCAACAGTAAACTTACGATCAAATATCAGAATTTCAGGATTTCAGCTCTTTAATTTCACCACATTACCAAATGTAGTACCATTTAGTACAATTACAATTAGTAGGTATATCGGAAACCAGCTATTCTTCTCAACCACAGACACAAGCTATCAAATTTCAGGATTTTAGCCCTTTTCCTTGCTCCAATTCCAAATTTAGTACTTTTCGTAAAAATATAGTACAAAAATTCAAAACCACCTCCATATCTCGATTCTAGATACCAATAGAGACCTAAGACGATTCCAGCTCACCCAATACCAAATTTAGTGTTATTTTGTACTTTTCAAACAACAGTAGTGCATATTTCCAAAACCACCTCCATATCTTAACCACAGACACCACCCCATACCAAATGTAGTACTTTTCGTGCAATTGTAGTCCAGACTCTAATACCAAATTTCAGATTTCAAGCCCTATATGTTCAGCCAATACCAAATTCTGCAATATATAGTACTATTTAGAAGTTTTCGTGGACGTGTAGTACACATTCCCAAAATCACCTCTACAACCAACAGGGATCCCAATACAAAATTGTAAAACTAGCATCTCATTCGTTCATCCTGAACAAACTAATCTAAATGTAGTACCATTTAGTACACATAAGTATAAATCCCCATAACAACCTACACCATACAATCTAATATACATTTTACTTCCCGATTTCCAAATACTAGCCTATAAAAATTGTACCAAATCAAGTATAATTTAGTACATACAAGTACGAATTTCCAAAATTGCCTACATTCCTCAGTCTAGAATGCAATATTAATCTTATTTCTAAATTTCACTATTCTAGCTTTATCGATTCACCTTTGTAAAAACAAGTTACAAAGTACCAAATTTAGTACAATTTTCGTGAATATAAGTACAAATTTCGAAAACTTCCTTTATCCCAATTCCACACTCTGCCAGTAATGTTAATATCAAATTTCAGGAATCCAGCTCCTTCCAGCAAATTGTAATAAATTTAGTACCATTTAGTACTTGTCGTATACAAGAGTACACATATACAAAACTACCTCCTTACATAGACTTTACTTCTCAACCTTGATCCCAATTCCAAATTGCAAGGTTTCAGCTCTAAGCGTTCACATGATACGAAATGGTACCAAATGTAGTACATTTTATTAGTTTTTGACACTGTTAGTGCAAATTTGGTACATCTATCATACACTCCATCAGTAACGCTCATCCCAAATTTAATACTTCTAGCTTTAGAAAATAATTTACCTGTTAGAAAGAGTAAGAAAAAGGTCAGTGCCTATGGCTTTTTGCAATTTATACTAACATTAAATTTAGGGACGTCCTAGGGAAACATAAAGAAATGGTCGAATGCTGAGGGCATATATCAGTCGACTAACAGACTGATACTCTTTAAGTTGTTTTTAAACGAAATAAGGTGCAAATCCGGTTTTTTCCACATACGTATATTTTCTTTATTGTGGGTCAAGTTCGATGACATTAGCCATATATTCCACCGAAATTACCTATACTATAAATATGGGTCCCCCATAGATGCTATCGCCAAGCATTGTTTCCTACCGATTTCACACGAATTTTCAGTACTAATGTTGAACTTCGCCTATTATTTTATAGGTTATCTTTCTTCTTGTGGTAGAAGATATTAAAGGTTAACACCCCTTCTGATGCGTCAAAATCCTAATTATTTTTCTCTTTAAAGCCATTCATCCAGATATACCTACGAAACAGCAACAAGCTGTGCCAATTTACTGAAATGTTGGAAAACGGCTTATTTGATGAGTCGAAAATATATTGAAGACTCTGGAGCCGGTTCCAGGTGGGAGTTCGATCGCAATGCTCTGTTTAACGAAGTTGATCACATAACCCGAATTAGCCGGGATATTGCCTCGGTGGGGCGTGTTTTCATCCAATATGAAAATCTGTTTGGAAATCGTTTGAAATGCCTCATTACGGATCCCACACTCGTCGATGGACTCATGCGCAAGGTGTACCGCTTGCTCGACGATATGTTGACTAGTGTCGATTATGACATCTTCCGGCCTGGCAATTGGGAGAACTGGGAACACACGCTCAGCACGTTCAACAAACGTTTGGACGCTGTCGAATCGGAAGCGAAACAGGTGATTGAGAAGAGTATTACAATGCTGCGGTCGTCTGATTTGGGTTTGGAGCTGATACGTGATGTTAAACTCTTGGATACACGGAAAGCGTTGACGGACTTTCTATCAACGAAGCACGAAAACCTATTGAGATTCTTTGTAACGGAAATAAACACTGTCGAGTGTGAGTTTATGGTAAGTTCGGTGTAGGGTGTATGGCATGGCAACAAATGCAATATTTCAGGGATTTAAAGCCAGTCTCTTAAGGTCCATGTAAACTAGTTTTAACTTACCGTGCTTTTTCTAATATATAATGATATTAAATGACATTCGGTTAGGATGCTTTGAAATCGTGATATTAATGTCACGAATTCAAAAGCAATTTCAACACTTAGCTTTAAATTTCTATTTGGTTTAATTTTCCAAATACTCTACTTTTATGCAGTATTTTGGCTTTTCACCAAAAAAATTATTTCGTCATATACCAATTTTTTGTGAGCCCTATAAATGTTCTCAGTATCGATTTTATTACTTTTAAATACAATATTTCATTCTATGCCATATACAATTTGCATACAAACACTGCACACTCACACACTCAAGTTCGAAAAGAATCGGGCTTCGTTTTATGTAGATAAATAACTAGGCATACAGGCATGTCACAGAATGTAAAATCGTTCAAGAGTGAAAACGAAAACGGTTTTAGCTTCTCTAAAAAACGGAAAACGCAAAAATTTTGCGTTTTGATATCACTTTCAAAAAGCAGGGTGAAATTGAAATGTTTAGTGATTTTAACGTAAAAAATTAACCGAAGACACATAAATTTAACAGAAAATATTGTATTAACCAAATTCTCTTAGAATGAACATGTTTTTGGAATTTATTTTACAAAAAATCTATTATTTTTCTAATCCATGATGAAAACGCAAAAATATGAACGGCAGACTTGTATTGTTGAATTATTGCCATATGTGTTGAAGAAGAAGGTGTAGAAATGTACAACTGACAGACCAAAAAGCAAGAAAGGGGAAAAACAAAAAAACGTGAGTTCCGTCAATGCATCCTACAATTCCTGGAATTTCATAATTTTCAAAAAAGTACAATTTCGACTTTCTTTTTTCTTCGGAAGAGATTCTTAACTTGATCCAATGTGGACAAATTTCAGCTTCAATTGCATTAATAACTCTCCACATAATTGTAGAAACTGTACTTACAACCCAAGGCTTAGCTCCACATCTCTACCTATAACTCCTTGAAATGCACCCGTAGCCAAAAACCTAAGCGTTGTTGCAAGCTGGATAATAGCCGGTATATTGGAACGTTTGAGGTGGGGAGAATTTTTTTCCAAAACTAAAACAAAAGCTTCTTTATTTAGCCGATAATAAGTTATAAATCTGTAGAAATAAATTATCATTAAAATAAATTTGAAAATAACTCATTGCTGGTGGATCCTTACTCTGCATTTGAGTGAGATAAAGGATCTGATGCGTTCCTCAATGTCCGGCGACGAATTTTTTCAGTAGACCGCTGATTTATTTCTTCATCCATTACAGCAAGTATTGAAGCCCCTGGCATTTTTACTTTTGGGGTTTATATTATAAAAAACAATTTAAACTCCTTTTCTAATTGTCAATAATTTGTTTATGACTTTTTTTTCATGGAGTTACCATATTTTTATTTCAAAAATGTGAAATGATTTTTTTTCCGGATTACTCAAAACGTACGAGTGCTGAAGAAGCAAAAGCAAATCGTAACGATTTGGAAAAGGTGAAATAAATCGATTTCGTAAAACTTCTGTGACATGCCTGATAACCTTGATTTGTTTAACAATATTCATTGTTTTCTGAATTGCACTTTTTTTCTCGTTCCCTCCCACCCCTTTTTTAGAATCATAAAAAAGCTCCGCCAATTGGTAAACATCAGCCAGCGAAAATCGGCGCCATACAATGGACGCGATTATTGAGCGCCAAACTGAAAATATCCGTATTGGCATTTAAACGGGTAAGTAATCTGGGCTAACACCACATTGCTCAGTGCCAATATGACTGATACCCCTACCCCTCCCGCCCACTGCACGCGAGTGATTTCATTGTCTGGTTCATTCTCGCGGTGGCATGGAGCATTTCTGAATGGTCAAATGGCACGACCACCAATGACTGCTGGTTGACTGACAGACTGACTGACTAAAAATCAGCGACACGGCCCAGTCCTATAACAGGAATGAGTGCCAAACAATGATGACAACAACAACAAGAACAACAACAGCAACGGCAATATTTACTGAGCCTTTCACAACATCCTCAATTTTATGCATTTATTACAATTTTTCGCTTTTTCAATAAACAAACAATTCCACGTTTTGATGCAATTTGCGTTTTATGGTAGGACGCTAGAGCTCGCAGTTGTGATGGTGGCGGTTCTGTGTGGTATTGGTGCTGGTATTTGGACCATTGAAGGACATTCACAGTGAAGGATTTCCTTTGAGATACACTGCCTCATATAAAACCATACATTTTCAAAGTAGTGTTTTATTCAACAATTCAAAATGGAATGGTTCGGATGCATTGATATTTCATTATATACTTCATCTAAATTTGCATTAAATTTTTCGAAATTTCTGCCACTGTGCCAGTGCAGAGAAAACACCGCCAATACAATTTACATTGTCGTTCCTGTGGACGTATCTATCATTGTCGCTTTATCTATGCAGCGTGGAAAAGTGTGATTTCGTTATTTTGCTGCGTGGATATTTTTCACAAAAAAAAATATTTTAAATTCTTTTTTTAATTTGAAATTTTTAAATTTAAATTTAAACGATTGCAATATTGGAGGGAGCGATAAATTCATCAGACTCTCACTTGATTCGATTGCATAGTTTTACGACATGTGATGTGAATATTATTTCGATCTACAGCAGAATGTGGAGGTATTCGAAGCTACTTCAATACGAAGCATTTTGAATGATTTGCAAACGAAATAATAATTAATTATCATTATTTCAATTTTGGAGGATATCCAGATCAAGAGGAGAAAGGCGATTACAAATTCCTCTCCACCTGATCTGTAGCAAAATAATGGCATTTCATTATCCATTAATCCAGTCGAAATTTAAAGAGTTCTTACGTTCCAAGATACCACACATTTTGTTATTTGTCTGTTGTATATCGTCTTGCTGGAAGTTGCAACCAGCCTGATCAACTTGAATATTACACACAACTTCAATGACGGAGAAGGAGATTAAATTGAGTTCTGACAATAGTTACTGAGACCAACATCACATCTCCATCCATTTCAGATGGAGGACGAACCAAACCTCAAGAACAGCTACTTAAAGCGAAGTGCCTTCAAATCCTACTTTGAACTGGTAAACAAAATGCACATCTATGAAAATAATCTCTTCGAGAAATATTGTTCCGAAGCCACGTACATGGTCAATGGTCTAATGCGAAAGAATATCCTTAAAATACAGATTTGTAAACGCGACACATGTAAGTCCAACGGCCGTCGTCATTTCAGATATACGACTAAAATCTATAATTTTCAGTAACTTATATATCGGATGCCTTGGAGACCATCAAATTGAAAAAGGGGAAATCGGTGGATGAATCCAGCTCTCACGGCACTAGTGTCAGTGATGCATTCAGTCAAACGGTTCCAACTGGATTCATTCGTAAAATAACGAAGTTTACCGTTATAGCCACATTGCTTCAGTGGCTGATGGGGCGCAAACCAGCTGCCGATGCGCAATTTATGAAAGCTTTGGAATTTCTAAAACTCATGAAATCGGGAAAAGTCAAGCCAACGGAGAGGGATAAATTTTGTATAAAACAATGTGAACGTAAGTATAAATTGTTATTAATAAAAGAGTAAGTAATTGACTATTGACTTAATGATTCATCAAAGCATAGACGAAACGGTTGAAGCTAGAATCTTGAAATTTAGATTGAGAGCCACTGTTGCTCCGAAGGGTTCAGTGGAGATAGATAGGCCAAAGGGTTTTTGAAAATTCGCACAGAAAGTTTACGAAATGTACTAAAATGTAATGCATTTGGTACCATTTCCTGGTTAGAGCTAAAACTTGAAATTTGGAATGGGAATCAAGGTTAAGGAGTAGATTCGATGAGGAGCTAGTTTTGGAAGTATGAACTCATGTATCCGAAAGTACTAAATTTAGTACAATTTGAATTTGCAGGAATGCAGCTGGAATCCTGAAATTTGAAATGAACATTTCTGGTGGAGTTTGGGGTGGGATATGAAGTAGTTTTCGAAATTTGTACTTATATGCACAAAAAGTACTAAATGGTAGTAAATTTAGTAAAATTTCAAATTCGAAGAGCCGATAGAGCTGGAATTCTTAAATTTAGAAATAATATTACTATTGCATGCTAGGTACTTACGTGTACTAAATTGTACTGTGGTACAGTTTAAATTTTAGGTGAACCAGTAAAGTTGGAATCTTGAATTGGACACTATGATTCGGGTTGTTATGGAAATTGGTACTTATATGTACCAAGAGACATAGAACCCTGAACCGATAGACATAGAACCCTGAAATTTATAATGAGAGCTACTGATGGAGAGCAGGATATATATACCAATGTGTTTCTTCGAATTCGCACTCTTTAGTGACGAAAAGTTCTAATAGGGTGCGAATATTAACAGATAGAGTTAAATGTAGCATGGAAAAAAAGATTGGGAAGTATGTTTGAGATATAAAGATGTTTTTTTGAAACGTGTACCAAGTGTGTGATCTGTACTAGTTGGTACTAGATTTGTATACTACAAGTGCACTATACATAAGTGCAAAGGAAGTAGTTTTAGAACTACTATGAACGTACGAAAAGTTCAAAATGCCACAAACTGTGCCGTTGGTTGTTGGGATAGTGATGGAATTCTGAAATTTGGTATTGAGTTCACTCGTGTATTTGATCCGCTTACTATAATTGTACTATATTTGGTAATGAGTTGAATTCCTTTAATTTGATATTAAGGTCCACTATTGGGTTTTGGGGTTGAGATATGGAGGTTGTTTTGAAACTGAGTACTGGAAATGTTTTAAAAGTACTAAATGCTACTAAATTTGGTATTTGGGGGAAGAGCGTATATTGCGATAATTGTAAGTGATAGAGATATGTGACGAAGTACTAAAATTGTAAGAAGAAAACTAAATGTTACTGAATGCAGTATTGAGCGAACGTATAGAGCTGGAATCTCGAATTTTGATATTAAGGTATCTTTTGGTATCTGGTGGTGGTTTTGCAAATGCGTACTATAATTGTTTGGAAAGTACTAATTTTGAATAACTGTTCGTGTCTAGGTTGCGGAGATGTATTCATACAGGGTGAAATGAAAACACTGCAACCAAATTCAGACTGCTGTCATTTCTAAGCCAATCGTCCCAAAGCTATTAAAATTATTCCAGTGACAGCTCATTATATTGTTTACAAGCGTACAAAAGCATTTTGGTGAGAATTTTCCAGAAAAAAGTTATTCGTGATGAAATTTAAGCGTGATAGTGTGATTTCTTTATATTTGGCTGGAAAACCCCAAGTGGCTATCGTTAGAACACTCCAGCATTTGAATGTGAATACATTTTGTTGTGTCTCGTATCATGGCTCGTTTCCGTCATACGGCTCGTGAGCTGAACATATCGCAATATTACATTCGGCAAATATTGAAAAACGAGCTCAGGGTAAAAAAATGTAAGAACTTACAACGCAATAGATAGAAAATAGACTCAAAAGAGCTAAAAAGTTGATTCCGTTGTGGTGAACTGCCGAAAGTGGTGAACTGCCAAATTTGGTTTTCTCTGATGAGAAAACTTTCTTGTTTACTTGCCAAAGAGGTCAACTGAAAATGTGCACCTTCGGTTGGTCGCTCTTCGCTCGTATTAATCGACCGTGTCATCAGAAAAAATGCCGAATATTATCGCGAAAATATTCTGGAGGGTGTACTTAACCCTTGGATATTTTGCTTTCATTCAATAAAATTAAAAAAATATATATAAAAATTGTGGGTTTGACTATGTTGCAGTTTTTTTATATCACCCTGCAAGTGTTAGGATTTTTTCACTCACAATCTCCAAGCGAATTATCTTTGTCCTTATTTAATGTATCTTAATTTGGTGCGCAATAAACTCAAAATCAAATAAAAATATACACGTATATCTAAATATAAATTGATTTTCATAAAATTTTGCTAGGTATATCTAGGGTAAATCGGATCTAGTAAAATCGGATGCAACATATTTATATGCAAGCTATAACAACATCTAAATATTTTTTTTTTCAAATTTGGCCGACCTACTTCTTGCTTGCTTGCTCGACTTTACAAGGAAAAGTATATCTTTGTTTGACCACATATCAGGTATTTGGTGCACGCGAGATCGGATGAGGATCTCAATCGAATAATGAATACTACCTATATTTTGCTTACGAAAATATAAAGATAGACAGAGAGTCGGGCAGATATGCAAGATCACCAAAATAGACTTTGGATCTAGTTTATTTTCCTTTTACACATAAATGCTCAGAAACATAAAACCCATCATCACAGTGCGGTGAAGGGTCCTTTCGTTTCCTAAATACCTCCAGTAAAAGCAGATATTAAAAACAAACAAATTTTAATTTTGTGATGATGCATTCCCCCTCATCCCCACAAAATATTGCAATATGTTTTTCAACAAACTCATTCACACTAATCTTTTCAAAAATGATTTTTGTTTTGGATGTTCTCATCATTGCGTTACTGAATTGCTTCATCATAATCTCGGCAATGGACCATTGGTCGACTCAGCGAAGTTATCTGTATTTTTTTTTTTCTGAGAATTTAATTCGCTTCGACATTAGTTGATTCTGAGTGTCTTTTGAATACTTTCAATGGAAAGATGATGGCTTTTTCTTTTTCATTTTTATGAAGACACTCTACACGACGGACTGTCTGAAACAAAGAAGGCCAAGTGCAGACTAGAGAATAACGAAATAAAACAGATGATGAAAATGGAGGAAACTCTTACCGTGATTGAAGAAGTATTTAATGGAATTTATTGGTTTTCAGTGAGGCGCATCCACTAATAGGGCCGACTAACAATCAGCAAACCAAAGCAAACCGTAAAAAAAAACTCAAATGTAAATAACTTTAATGTTCGTCAAACCCCAAGCAGCCTTGCCTTCGATGGCACTCTAGGAGGGACAAGCAGAAAATATGTTTGTGAAACGAACCAATCTAAAATGTAACAAGGCTTATTATTATAGGGTCGGCCGAGCAACCGCAAAATACCATAGCGTAAACTCCCGGTAACAAATTGTTTGGGGGTGGAACGAGGTTCATTGCCGAAGTTTGTAACAAAGAAACAAATACTCCATTAATAATTTCCTGGTCTAAAGTCGGTGGATAAATTAATTTTTACAAATTTCCTACAATAGCTTCTTATAACATCCTCGTTTACATATCGGATAAACAATAATAAAAGGGGGTTGGTGTATAGCTTCAAGTTCAAAATATGTTGCAATCTAATTGACTCAAACCCACCTCGTAGCAATTCTAATATTTTCTTTTCTGGGATTTAAGTTTATATCCTGCAGCAGCATATTTTCGGTTTGGTCATTTCCATGAATTCGTTTGTTTTCTTCTTTTTTTTTGGGTGGGAAGTTCTTTCTCGTTACAAATACATATATACAACTAAAAAGTGATATGAAACGAATCAAGGCAAATTATAGAACTTTCGCAAAGAAGTATTTCGAAAGTAATAAACGAAATTATGTGGATTTCATATAAAACATAAAGAGGAAAATGTCCAATCATACTTAAAATAATGGACACAAAATTATGTGGCATCAGTTCATCCCAATCAGAATTATTCCAAATTGTTTTTTTATGTGTATTTTTCAGTTTTAGTCAAATCCTGTAGTCAAGAAGGCCTTCCAACGTGGCGTGCTCTAGTGGGTGATAAAATTTTGATTGAATACGAGATGCGATTTACGGTCAATTTAACCCGAGGTAATTCGGTGGTCGATCCTTGAAAATTAGATTTTTTTAATTAATTTTCTTTTGAAATTTGCAGATATCTTTGAAATAATGTTTGAAGGCCAACAATTTGAACATTTCGGATTTGCGCTTCCATCTGTTCTTCGAACGGCTATCATGAAAAAAGAAATGTTGTTTAATGACTTTGAAGCTGTATCAACAGTCATAGATAGATACAATTCCTTGCTGGACAAACTTTCACTGTCGGAGGTAAGATATTTTTATTAGGTTGGACTATGAGCCTAAAACCATCCTAATGTCAAAATAAAAACATATTTTTAGTTAGAAAACACAATTACCATTAAAATTGGTACCATAGAACTCATGGTCTTTTCATGAAATTTTCATGACCCCAACAAACACGTTTTTTAAAATAATCACTGAAATGTTTTGCTTTAAATATTGGTAGGTCCTTGTGTTTATACCCCTAACAAGGGCGACAAAAAAAGACCAAACCAAATCCATGGAAATATGGGAAAAATCTAATCGTCATAAGAATGCATGACAAGATTCTTTAGATATTCAAAGCGATTGAATACAAAAAGTTCCCGAATAAAACTTCGTCACCTTAGCAACCCGTCCGGTCTACCCTATTCGAAATATTGTTAAGCCAAATTTACCTCTTATAAGTAGAACAGTGCTCTACTGCACTGTTCTACTTATAAGAGGTAAATTTGGCTTAACAATATTTCGAATAGGGTAGACCGCAGCAATGTCTATAAAGTAAATTCCAACAATTTTACCAAATTTGAACAGTTAATTGAGAAAAAAAAAAACTGTGGAAAAATATGGTAATAATACGACAACAAACTGGGATTAAGCCTAACGATTTTGCAACAACAAAATATTACGGTATACCGAATAAAAATGCCAACACTGTTCAAAAAAATTGTCTTATATTTTAGGAGAGAAGATATCCTTGGTGCCTTGAGGAAAGGATTTACCGGAGAAAAAATTTGTACAAGTCTTTTTCAATTTTTTTTTATTTTCCAATTTTTACCATCAATTTTGAGTACAATGTTTTTAATAAAAGACATTAGAATGAAAATTTCATATGATTTTGTTCGCCTTATGGTCTGAGCCTTCATTAGATCCCCGTAGGATTTGAATACACCAAAGAAACAGGCCACAAAAAAAAAACGTAGAATACCTATTTCCATTTTACTGACCTTTTGAGTTTCCTGACCTTTTGAGAATTCATGATTTGTACCATCTACTATGAAATAGAAGACATTTAAACAATTGTGTTTAAACATTTTAGATGACATTGAGTTATAAACAGAGATGAGCTGGAAATAAGTTCTCAGTTGTCTTTTTTCGATACTGTTTCGGTATCTAGAAATATTGTCCGTCTCTTCCTCAGTAATCCGTAAAAATGTCTATTGTGTTTCTTTGCAGGTCAACTTTTTGCGTGACCATCTGTATGAAACCGAAGTTGCCATTCAAGTCGGTGTGGGCCGATATACCTGGCAATCGTTCAACATCAAAAAGTATTGCGAAGGCGTTTGCGCTCTTATGCGAAAATTACAATCCGTTGTATCCCAGATAAACTATATCCGCATCGACATCAGAAATCGAATTAATCACATAAAAAACTTTAATTTATTCAGCATCGATGATGCCAAAGATGTGGATCTCAACAACACTCAACACGACATCGAATCCGACCAACAAAACTCCACAGAAAGCAGCGACGATCCGGAGGCGAATGCAATCAAACGAAATAAAATAGAAATAATTCGCATGCCTGACCCGCTGGATACAGTGTCGGCCGATCCTAATGATTGTGGCAGTGCTATTTATCACTGCCAGAGCTACATGGAACGTCTGGAAAGTACACGAACCGGAAAGTGTTCACAAATGAAGAAAACTTACGATTCACTTGGACCAGTGCTGATCAAATTGGAAAGTTTGGTATTGGGTACGTTCACAGGTCGTTCGGAGAAAATGCGAGAATACTATGTCTTCTGGGAGGAGGAAACCTACAAGTGTATATTGGAGTAAGTTATTAAAACAAAATATAATGAGGATACTGAGGAAGAATGGTCCACTATTCTTTGGTGCAGACCAACTTTTTGAACTCGAACTATTAATAGAATCTATGTATGTCCTATTCAATGGATCCCTTACATGATTCCAAATTAATTAAGAAGATTATGGACTGAATTTTGGCACTTCTGACCGAATTCTGTCCAGAAGCAAGTAGGTCAAATTTTGGTGAAAATCGGTTCAGATATAGTCATAGCTCAAAAGTATATATATTTCACCCGATTAGGTGTTGAAGTCTCTCACATGCATAACATGCCCTCCGAAACAACGATATTTGATACGGGACATCAGATACAGCTCGAAAATACATCTGCCAAATGTTATCGAGATTTTTCAGATTCAGGTTTTTATATACATGCGATATACATCTTCATCCGAATTTACTGTCCACTACCTATGCAATATCAGCGCAAATTGCATAGATATTTTCATATTCAATCGATTTTTTTCTTTTCGTGAAACTTGGTCCGGTGTATCTATTGTGTCAATAATTATTTTTTAAAATAATCATGCACTATACAGCTATGTTATGTGGTACTATAGGTGCAAAAGCCTCAGTCAAATTTGTTGAAAACCGATTCAGAGTTGGATATAGTTTCCAAATTGTGACTACTCTAAAGCCATGATACGCATTCTAATAAGGTTCATGGTTCGTACGATCTACTTTACATAAATTCCCAATACGAGAGCTGTACTAAATACGCATAGTGGTGTAGGGTATCATATAGTCGGCCCGCCCGACTTTTGACTTTTCCTTACTGGTTAATATTGCTGTAAATACGGCAGTAGAGTTGTGCTAGTTAGGGTTGATAGAAAGATCTGGTTCCTTTTCTTGTCCTGTGGTACAGGCCATTTCTATGATAACTCTGCGAATGAGTGATTTGAAATGCATGAAATCGCTCATACGTTTAGGAACTGGTGTATTGAGTTATGATCTAAATTGACGCAACTCCATATAGAAGACATCGTGCATAAAAACCGAGAATTGAAAGCAGCAGAATAAATTGCGAGGGACCGGTGTATCTTTTTACAAAACAAAAAAAAGCAATAACACTATGACTTGCTTGTAAAAATTGGCTACAATGCTCATCAACCTATTTGTTTAATTTCGAAAACGAACAAAAAACAATTGCTCTCATTCGTGTTGCATAGAAAAATACTCGATTTTTTGCAGGAGTATTCCCACTTGAATTCGAGTAAAAAGTAAATTGGAGATCTCTGCTAGAGACACCTGAATAAAAATTACCGGAATATTCAAATATTTTACATTAAAATCCCATATACATTAAGCCTTATAAATATGTATATTTTATTATAGTTTCACCTACAAAAACTTGGAATGTTATCTGGATCGCCTACTTGGAAATCAGCCGATGTTTGAAATAAATGCAATAATAGTCCTGTCGGAAATTATGTTGGAACCATCAGCAAATGAAGTGAAAAATATGATTGTTCAATCTTGTAAAGATTTCTTAGAACGGTAATTATTGGCGTACATACTTGTATTAGTGTATATTTTACGTAAGGTATTTTACAGTTTAAAAATGTTCACCCGGTGGATGAATGGAACATGCATTCCCTGCTCACCCATTGACAATGATGGCGATGGCAAATACACTTTCACATTCTATGAAGATGTCGTCAAGGTACAGTGAAAGTATTGTGTTATTCTAAAAATTGCAATTATTACTACTTTTCTTAATTAACAGATAAAAACCATTGGTGGTTTAGTTGTAAAAATTCAAGAATTAGCTAATCGTGTCGTGGAGGACGCTAAAAATTGTGTTAAAAAGTAAGTGACATTTTTTCTTTGCTGCAAATTCAGAACACCACATTTGTTATTTGCGAAGGTTTAGCTATTAGAATGGGGCAAATAGAAAAATTAATTTCAAAAACCATTTTTTTGTTTAGGATAAATATAATATTTTGTTATTGCAAAATGGTCAGGCTTAATCCCATTATTGTTGTTTTTATTAAAACAACGTCTGTTATGTTAATAATATTTAGTGACTGAAAATAAACTTAAACTACATAGACACTCGAATAGCAAAGACTGGACTGTTATATTAATTCTACCCAATTATATTTGTTTAAAATAATGGCGTGTATCTCGAAAAATACACATTGTCTTCAACTATCAAATCATTCATGCTCCACCTCTGGGACAATAAAATTCAAGATTTTACCTAAACATCATCGGTAAATTCCAAAAGGAAAATAAATCATATTAACAAAAAAAAAACATTGCTTTTCGATGTTTAATCATCCCTTTTCATAGAATATTTCATAATATTTCAATCCAAGACAAATTAAAACGTGTGAACAATAATACAACAACAACAACTCCTTGGCAGCATTTACCCTTGTAGCACAAAATAGAAACATAAGTCAAACCTAAGTTTCTCCTCTATTTTTCTATTCTAAATGCAATGATGATTTGTATTCAAATGCGCCCTTTCCACCTCTTTCTTCTCGTTGTTGTTTCTTGTTTACGGTCGTCTTAAACTCGGTTTTGTCTTCCTCTTTTTTTCCTCTCATATTTTCGCTTGACTGCATTTAAGTGGTGTTTACCATATGATAAAACCATTGCAACACAACCAGGCAACAACAGTCATGCATTAGACAACAACAAGTTCAGGCCAACCGTTGTACAACATTGTTAAATTCCCATAACATGCCAAAACATAGCCGTAGTAGTCATAGTTCTCATACCGAGTATATGTTTGCTAGTGTGTGTGTGTGTGTTTAGGACTGAGTCGTCTTGCAAACAAGCACTCACACAAATTGTGATGCAACGACGGGAGATGCATCTGGGAAAATATACCAGTCTTGTGTACCATAATCTTAGACATCCACATGTATGTACATATAGATATGTGTGTATGTGTGTGGAAAATAGGTAAAAACTGGGTGGTCAAATCATAAAAAACAAAACTCGAAAAACATTTCGCAAAGAATGACACGACTTGGCAAAACTTCCATATAAATGCTTACGAAATGTGACTTTTCAACACACAATCAAAACATTTCGTTTTTTACATTTACATGTATTTAACGTCGACATAAAAGGTAGGGTGAATATGCCAGAGTCTTACCTTATTTATTGAGAGAGTAAGGAATGTTCATTAATTTCGAAGGCAAAATTGTGCAACTTTTCTGATTAGTGCCGCAAAAGATAAGCTGTTTAATTTAGAAAATTAAGAAATCATAAAAAAGTGTTTGTTAAAGAAAAAAAAAAAAACACCAAGTCGACTACCATCCCCGTTTTTTAGTCCCTATTTGCCTTTCCTGTCAATTTATGTTATTTCAGCGTAAACATTACATATTATGGAAGGACTACAAGAACAACGACAACCAACTAAGTCCTTTTTGTTTGGCATAATTTTGTTGTACCCATTTCCAATTCATATTTATTCTACTCCTTTTACTTGTCGTTTTCATTCCTTCATTCCGTTCCCTTCCTTTTTCTTTTTTTCTGCTGCTGCTGCTGCTGCTACACTGCGTTGTCCCTGTCCTCTTCACAGATTTCGCAAATACTACAATCTGTGGGCATTTGATAAGGAAACAATTTGTGAAAAATATGTGGATCGTGGTGTGCCACTGGTGCAGCTTGACGAGAAATTTACATTTTATGCAAATATCATGAACGAATTGCAGCAGTTGCCAACATACTACGATGTCCAATGTATACGCATAAATTTGAAGCCACTGCTGGACAGCATTTGCCATCACGCCCAGCAATGGTGCACCAAATTGGGCGAGAAGCTGGCACAGCGCACTGTTGCCAATATGGATAGAATGCGATTGGAAATTAAAGTAAGTATGTAGAACGAAAATAAGTTGTTCGTTTTGGTGTTGTTGCTGTTGGAGGGTGAGGTGGCGTAGGGTGTGTGAGTGAGTGAGTGAGTGACCAAAGCCTTTCCAAGAAGTTTTTCAATTCTAAGATTCTACCCTGTTTTATTCCTTTAGATTTCAATTTTAGTTTTGCCTGTAAAACGAGCTGCAGCAGAATGATAAAGGAGCAGAGTAAACCAAATGTATTCATATTTTTTTTTTTTTTTTTTTTTTTTTTTTTTGCTACTGGAACAGGGTGTATCTTAAATATGGATGAAGGCGAGAGAGCAAGTGCAGTTGTTCAGGTCATTACATGTGTAATGCCAGAATTATGAACTCAATTTGTCCTTACGGAGCAGTCGAAGAAGAAAGTACTAATGCTCGTACAATAATATAATCAGTTAGGGCTGGATGTTCTCCTCCGATAAACATTCAAATTAGATGGAAAACATAGAAATTGATTTGCGCATAAAATTACTCATTGGCCACAGAATCTTTAAACCATGAATAGTAAATTGACGTGATTTTTGTCATGTTAATTTTAGGTGAATGAATACTTTTTGAATGAAACAAATATTTTCTGAAGTTGTCTATTGTTTTTCTTACGATAATATCCCAAATTGCAGTTAATATAAATAATGTTGCGCACAATTCAATGACAGTATTGAAAAACTTTTTTTCGGGTTATTCCTGCAGTATCTGTAAATTAATTGATTGTTATACATATATTTCAAATAATTTGCAAAAAAAGCTGTCGATAAAAATACCAATAACAATAATTGGGCCAGTTCTAGTGGATTTCTCTAACTTATTTGTTTTCTTTAACTATAATTTTAAATACCCCCGTGTTTTGAACAATCCTGAATAATTTCAAAAAATCAGTCGAAAAATACCACGTAAATGTAAGCCGTTATATGGGGCATATACAAAGACGTGGACCTGCATAAATAATTTTTGTCATAGGCTGTAATATCGATTCCGTACTTCAGATGCGAAATTGGAAACGATTCTGTTGAATAATTTTGCTAATGCCATTAAAATACCAGATAAAGAGAGTTAACCTTTTATATGGGCTATACGAAGAGGTGGACCTGTATAGATAATTTTCTGCCATAGGTTGAGTACTCATTACTAGCTTCATACTTTAAATACGAAATTTGAAAGAATTTATTGACAAATGTGCCTAAAATCATAAAAATACCGAATACCGTTATATGCAGGTCATACGATATCGCGGACCTATATAGCCCATCTGCGAACTTGACCTGGCTGCATACAAAAGACTGATCTGTGCAAAATTTTAGCTTCCCAACTTTGCTCGTTTTGACTCTAGCGTGACTACAACAGACGGACTGACGGTAGGCCAGCTGAATTAATTAATTTTACGCTGATCAAGAATATATGTACACTTTTTTAGGTCTAAAATTATTATTACGACGAGTTACAAGGAATGACGAATTTAATATACCCTCCACATGTACGGTGGAAAATGTAAGATTAGTCAGAGAATCGCACTACTCATCTTGTCATGGAATTGAAAAAAAAAAAACGTCAAACTTAAGTATTTCTAAGGCACAAAATTTACATCATTTTTTTTTTTTGTTCTTAATTGAAATCGGTTTATATGTATTTGCTAATAAGAATTTCAGCAGTGAAAATACTTTCTTCTTTTTCTTGTCACGCTAGCAATTTACAAAACATTTACATACAAAGGTAAATTCACAACTGCCACTTGTAAATTGTATTTGGTTTGTAAAGAAAAAGTCTTGCCAGCGTTAGCTGTTCGTTACATTTGAATGTCAAACAGCCAACTCGTTAAGTTGCGATTTGTTTCTTCCCCCTCCCTCTCTCTGCCCCAATGCTGCTAACAAAAACATCAACTTTTCTCTCTAGAAAATGACGAAACTCTGCCTTTTGTATGGAATCTGTAACATCAAATGCCATTCTAATGCGAAACTTTCCAATTTCCGTTACAGACACTCAGTGAAAATCTGAATAGGGCTACGAAGGAACTCAGCGATTTCAAATTGGTTATGCAAACTATTTCAACAATTCAATCGACGACGTTGACGCACGAAATCATAATCCGGGAAATGCAGGAGACCTACACCGTGCTGAGCGAACACAATATAAACGTAAGTGCAACAAGAAAATATTTATCAAAAGCAAAACTAACGATTGGAGATGCTATTGTGAAAGAAGCTGAAAAAAACCCAACTACAAAAAGGGAACGAAGTAGGGATGTATGTGTGTGTGTGTGTATGGGTGTATTGCCATAGGATAACATCTAATCACAAATACATGCATATGTAGAGAAAATATTTCTAAATTATTGAGCCATAACATGTCAGCAGCATACATAGATATGCACCCATACACACATATATAGATATGTACATGAAATTGCATCGAAACATAACATTTCAGCATTTCCTCTTGTTAGACCAGATTTCGTAATCAATTCGTTTTGAAAATTGTATTCAATCCATACTTTAAGGTTTCATTACAAATTTTATTAGAAATTTGTCTGGCAATTGCTTAAGCTTGTCATTTGTGAATATCGTCAAAGTGATAAAGAGACCCCTCTCTCTTTTTTCATGGAAGAGTATTTAAGCTTTTGCCAATTTTGTCAAAGGATTTATGAAACTTGTCTACGGGGGTTGTTAATTGAAAGGTATTATGGATTGTGTTGGTGTGTGTGTGTGAAGAAAGAGATTTTGAAACTGAATTAAATGGGTATTCAAACACTGGACTGTGCAAAAGTAACAACATTCAACAGAAAAGCAATCTTGTTTTCGAGGATGTGTTAAAATAATGGTCGTAGCAAGTGAAAATTAATGTTAAACGAGTGCGAACAAAGTTATGTTCGACTGGGCCGATCTCTTTGTATCCTCCATCATGTAAAAATTTAATTAATGGCCAAATTGATTAGCCTAAAAATCCATAGAATGAGGAATTTCTAATTTATGGGACTATACCGAATCCTTCAGAATACCTAACTGCAGAATGTACTATGCCCACTGAGTTAAGGATATTTGAAGTTTTGTGGTGATGGTTTTGGCCTTTGGCCGGGACTTGAGATTTCTACCTCTTAGATGTGTCCAACATCGACTACGCGATCCATTGTTTTTCTAAACTTTATAACTTTTGCAAGTAGCCGGTCTTCGATTTTAAAGTCAATATCTTCAGAACCACAAGAGACAGCATATATGACACCGTTTTGGAAAAGCAAGAGTGTTGGTAGTATTGTAGTTCGTTGATCTTAATACCCCATTATGAGTCCATCTTCGACTTTTTAGAGGTTTTTGAAAAAGTTCCGCTAGTAGACACCAATTTCCTTGCATTGCTCAGGAACCAGATTAAACAACGCCATTATTGATCTATCAATTGTTGGATATATATTTTCATAAGCTTTTAAATGATACCCATTTTGTATGTTTTATCCGTATAAAACCCGGATTTTGTATACGAAATTTACATTTTATATACGAAATGTAACCGGGTAATCGGGTATTTAATCAGCGAAAAAATATCTTTGCCGTAATCATGTTAAAAATACCTACTTGTGATATAAAATTCAGGTCAGTTCGAGCATAGCCCCTAAACTCAGCTTAAGCCTTGTTTTCTTTCACAATCCCCATAATTGCAATTAGGATTATGCCCGGGCACCATTGGGTCCATTGAAAACTAAGTCGATAGTCATTTTGATGAAGCCCCTACTCTCTCCATCTCTCACTAGGTAAATGTTACTATTTCAGAATATTTTTATAACCGTGACCATATGACCATCTGTCATATAAATATTACAAAATTACGATCAATTTAAATAAATAATTCATTTTTACTAAGGATGAGAGCAAACGTTGTTTAAACTCCAAATAATTCATTTTTACTAAGAATGAAAACAAATATTTTTTTAGACTCCTTAATACCATTTTTTTTCTTTAATTTTTAAAATCTTGTCTCTATTTTAATATCTGCAACTGATCCGACCTCGGTCATTGATGGTCATTTTTGGGTTGGGAATACATTTGCATTTTTTATTTAACTTAACATTCATGTGACATTATTTAGTATTTGCTGAGTTCCTTTCCATTTGCCATTCAGCTCTTCCCCAAACGATATGTTTTCCACTTTTGATGTGAATTTTTTCCATTTTCTTTTTTCTGTTTTTTTTTTTTTTTTTTTTGGGATTGCTCCGTCTTCCCATGGCATTTATGAATGTTTGCAAGCTGTATGTGGCTTGTGTACAGACATCTACATCCATAGACAGAGTGGAAGCAACTGCAGCCATAGAGTTTTCAAAAATGAATCCTCTGTAGAAAGTTTGTCATGGTCACTTAAAATCTAAAACCATTTCTCCCTGTTATTAGGAATATTTTTTCTGTAAATTCAAATGAGGATTTTTCGAAAATCTCTGTAAAGTCCATTTTGTGGCTGTATTTACAAGCATTGTACGAACAACTTTATTCGCTACCGCTCCATCCCCCATGGGGGCGGTTGCAGAAATATGGGCATATACTGGGATATATATATTCTCATGTACATATATGAATATTGGGCTTTTTGCAACATGTATTGCATCGGTTATGCAAGTGTACAAAATCGAATGCATTTAAATTCTCGGGATACCCTAAATTTCTTGTAAAAATTTCAAAACATTACGCCGTTAATAATAACAACTCATTCCGATTCTCCTTTAAATCATACAGATCTGAAAGGTACATCTAAATATTGTAGGGTGAACGAATATCAAATCCCTATTTTATTCACAAACAAATGACAATGAATCCCCTTTGCACATTTACCAATCTCTCTCTCTCTCTCTCTCTCTCTCCATCTCACCGATTCCCTCTCCATCTCGACCAATAACATATATGGCTACCATCACATTAGTACAGCCTTTTGGAGCGTTGCATATGTTTGTAACTCGGTACGCACTTGCATTTGTATTTAAATTCCCTATCAAAAAAGGGGTAAAGAGGAAAATCCAACAGCAAAAACAACATCAACAACGTAAGCAAAACATAAAAAGCAGTTACCGACTGTCCGACCACACGTCCATTAATTGATGCGCATTTGAATGGGGCTTTGGCCATTTACGATTTAAAGTATTAAATTGTCAAAACGTCGACGCTTTGCTGCATTTCACTCATTTTCGGTTTAAATCATCAATGGGGCATTAACTGGCTTTGTCTGGCTCTTCCGAGTGCAGGTTTGGAAAAACGTATTTTCAAATTCAATCAAATTACGCCTAAGAGGTGACAACTTAATTGATATACACACACACACACACACACATTTACAAACGTATGTGTCGTTTGTGCAATATTGTTGGCCACTGTCCCTTGCAAAATTAAAGTGGAATATTCCATTATGGATGGGCAATGGTTGCAAATTAACTCAAAAGTCAAACCAAAATATATATATATATATATATATATATATTGAATTAATTGCGGATGCAAGGTATAATATAGTAGAGATTTAAAATATTCAGAATTGCGAGAAATTAGTTAATTTTGAGTTATGTGTCTATTTTATATTTTATTAAACTTCTAAACTTTGTCATTCCGTTCGTTACTACTAAAAATACTCAAGTTTAGCGAATTAAGATAGAAAGCTAAATTGTGCGCATACAGGATGAGGAGTGCTCTAACGACAGCCACTTGTGGTCTTCCAGCTAAATATTAAGAAATCACACTGTCACGCTTGAATTCCATCACGAATATTTTTTTTTGGAAATTCTCACCAAAATGCTTTTGTACGCTTGTAAACAATATAATCAGCTGTCACTGGAATAATTTTAACAGCTGTCGGTCGGAGCGGCTTAGAAGTGACAGCAGTCTGAAGTTGGTTGCAGTTTTCATCTCACACTGTATTTGTATTTTATTAGTAGACAGACCAAGTTTTTAAGTGGACCATGTTGGTCCACGTATAGCCCTCATATAACTGACCTCCCTATGTTCGGTATTTTTGAAGATTTAGACAGAATTGTTTAAAATTCGGAACTTACAGTTTCTATAGCCCAATTTAACGGTACTTCTCGATATTCGGTATTTTAAGAGTTTTAGGCATAATTGCTAGCGGAATCGCTAAAAATTGGGTACTTAGGGTTCATAATATTTGAGGTGGAACTACCTCCTGTGGCAGTTCATTGTCTATATAGCCAGCGATCCAATAGTTGGACGTCTAAGATATTGCACTTGAAAATTTAAAAAAATCCATTTTGGGGATCGAGCCGTTTCTGTGCACCTGACTTAAGTGTTATAGAAATTTTATAGCATGCCAAGATTGGGCTGAATCATGAACTACAGAGGAGTTGGCCCATATGAATAACACAATCTGATGTAACTCACTAAGGACTACATTCGAGCTCGGTCTATCTATTAACAATTTTTCCAATATGCCAAGACACATAAAACAAGTAAAAAGGATTTACAGATTGGCCGGACCGAAACAATGAGAAGAGTAGAATATTTAAAATTAGAATATCAATCCATTTTAATTAAAATAACAAATTTCCCAAATAATAAAATCTAAAAAATCTAAAATAAAATCTAATTTGATTGAAGATTGTGACAGTAAAGTAAAGTTATATGGGGCTAGAACCCAAATGTAAAGTTTCAGCTGATTTGTTTGGAAACTCTGGAGTACCTTCCTATGCCTTAACTTAGACCAATATATCCCATTCTCAATACCAATCAGCCTGCATATAACATACAACTTTGAGCCAAATTTTAAAAATTTAGATTAAATACTGTGGCTTCTATCGTGATTTCAAGAAAAGGACGGCTATCGCTAAATCGCCTCATAACTTTATTCTGATCAGGAATATATTTACTTCCGACGTTTCCGATGAATATTTCGAGATATTACAACCGGAATGACCAATTTAATGTATGTGTTATGACGTGGCTATTTCTTAGAATGATTTGTAGATGTTTATTGTTTATATTATTGATGTTACCTTGCTGGTGAAAGGGCATATATGAAGGTCTTCAAACACAACAAAACTTTTTTCCTTGCGTTTTTTTGAATACCGATAATATGGGATACCGAATTACACTCTGACATTTGTGGTGGTATATTATGTTGGACTCCCTGGTCTCTCAAGGCTACACTTTAGAATCAAAGGCTTCCGTTTTATAAGCACCAAGTATACACGGAGAACGCTATTACATATGAACTGCTATACTCTAAACATTTCCCCGATTTCCAGCTGCTTCATTTATATCTGCCAATTATTTTGAAATAATGTTTTTGCATTTTTCATGCCATTAATTCGTCCTTTTCAGTTTAATTTTGAAGACATGCTAATGGCCCATCATTTGGGGAAACGATGGCAACGCCTCTACCGCTCAGCGCTGTATCGCCTGGACAAAGTGCAACCGATTAAACAGAAATTTGCCGATATGACGTCCGTCGAAATATCGAGCTTTTGGAAGGAGGTAAGTAATCGCCGAACAAACAAATAGCTTAGAAACAATTTATTGCCAACTCGAGAGAAAATTAAGAAATTCCAAACATATTTTTGTTGTTTTGCAACAAATGAACATTTCTGAACCCTTTTAGATGGGATGGCATACCAGCCAACACCCTCCCCCCACCACCTTTAACCGTGGATGAAGGGATGGGGCTTTAATTAGAATCGCATGATTTGTATGGAAGTTGGTTAAGGGTTCGCCGGGTTGGCCACATTCAACATTTGTTTAACAAGTTTGGCTTCTCTGATGTTCCTCTGATGTGTGTCTAGTTGTTGTTGTTGTTTTTTTAGACTTTGCAGATATGTCTGAAGCCATTTTTAAATTTAGTTGCTTACGTTTTTAATTCGTTTCGCCTTTGTTTCCGTTTCTATTCTCTTTCTTAATTTGCTCCCAATCTGTTTTTATAGCAGTTCAATGGGAATTTAATTGGATTTTATCTTCGACCGTGAGTCAGTCAGTCAGTCGGCAGACAGCCGGTTTCGTATGAAGGGATGATACACAATATTACGGAAAACAATTTTTCGGTTTCGCAATAATTCTTGTTGGAGAAAATTATTTTTCCTAAATTAACTTACGGTATTAGTTTAATTTTTGAAATTATGAAACAAATAGTTTCTCGCTGTAAGGTGATTTTTTAATGTCTATCTAAGATTGAAGTAAAATCAACACCTCTCATTTCCAACTAAATTTAATTCAGCAATCATCGCTTACAAACCAAGTGCCAAAATTCAATCCATTTGGGATGATATTTGCCAATAAACCTGATATCGGATAAATATATATATATGGGAGCTGCAGTCTAATCTGATCCGATCTCGATAAAATTTCCATAAGTTATCTGGTAAGAAATATCATTCTTGTGGAGTGCATATTACGCATTTGAGGGGCTATTCCTATATCTGAATCAATTTTCTCCAAATTTGATGGACTTGCTTCCAGACAGAATTCGTTTGGATGTGCCAAAATGTAGGTCATTTAGACTGGTATTTGCCGTTTGGTGTACAACTGACCTGAAATCGATTGAAGATATATATGAGAAAACCAATTTTCACGAATTTCAATAGGATTCGTCCCTGGGCCAAATCTCATCTCAATCCGATAATAAATGGGACCTACATTTTGTTCACAAAAATACTTGCATTTTGGTGAGAATTTTCCAGAAAAAATGTTATTCGTGATGGAATTCAAGCGTGATAGTGTGATTTCTTTATATTTCGCTGGAAAACCACAAGTGGCTATCGTTAGAGCACTCCAGCATTTAAATGTGAATAAACCTTTTGTGTCTCGTACCATCACTCATTACCGTGATACTGGTAGCGTAGTCCGATGTCAAGGAAGTGGACGGAAGAAAACAGCAACATCAGCAGAAATGGCTCAAAAAAGTAGCAACTTGATCGAAACCCGCGTCTCAGTTGCCGAAATGAGCTGAATATAAGGCAATATTTCATTCGGCAAATATTGAAAAATGAGCTCAGGGTAAAACCAATGAAATTCCAAAAAGTGCAAAGACTTACACCGCAACAGAGAGAAAATAGACTCACAAGAGGTAAAGAGTTGCTTCGCTTGGCCGAAAGTGGTGAACTGCCGAATTTAGTTTTCTCCGATAAAAAAAACATTCGTTGTCCAGTAGTTTGTAAACAAACAAAATGATCGTGTTTACTTGCCAAAGAGGTCAACTAAAATTCGGTTGGCTTCGGTTGGCCTCCAGAACTCAAGCGCCGAGCACCGGCCATGGTGATGGTGTGGACCGCCATAACAGCCAATGGTCGCTCTCCGCTCGTATTAATCGACCGTGGCATTAGAATGAATGCCGAATATTATCGCGAAAATATTCTGGAGGGTGTATTTTAGCCGCAGAATTTGGACATTCCAGCAGGACTCAGCACGCGCCACTATGTGGTTTAGGATATAACGATGTTTTCATCTTGGCCATACATACGAACTTCAGATATTCCTGCTGTGACAATTCAGTCATGTCTCATTCTCCAACCCCCTACACTTGGTATGTTGCCCTCATTGTTCCAAATGAATCAGCATTAAATTCTATGTTAACTTAGCCATGCCCGTCCTTCTAAAGAAATCGCTCTAGATTTTCTGCTTTACTCTTTTCGGCATTTTGCTAACATTTTCCCTAGAACCCAGGTTGGTGAATTGATCTTAAACAGTTTGGACGAATATAACTTCTGTAATTTAAAAAGTCAAACGGCACCTTTTCCAATGGTTTTTCTTTCTTCCTTTCATAAACAATTTCACTATTTTCCATCCCTTGCATTGACAATTGAAAAACAGCGAATCAATGGAGAATGTTTTTTTTTTCTTCCTCTTCAGTTTCCTTTCAATGTTGCATTCGCCATCACGCCATAGTTTGGATTTGTTCTTCAGGCTGTGGAGCCAACCCACCATATTGGAATGTAGTGTAGTGCAGCTACCTTTTGACTGATGCTTATTTCCTTCACTTCCAACTCAATATGAGCCGCATCCTTATCCGCTCCCTGCTATACACATTTAAACATTTAAACTGCGGCCGTTTGATGCCGTAAGTGGGCGGGTGTTATGCCTTTTGCATCCATTGGGCGATGGCACTTTTATTCCATCCGCATACATAACCCCATTGAACTGTTTCATTAGATAAGTGAAAAGGCATTCAACCGCAGCTTATGATAGCAGGAAAAACGAATTAACTCAAAGTGTTTATTATATGCATTAAGATTGGCAAACACATCTGCTGCTTTCAATTCGTATGTGTGTGTGTGTGTGTGTGTGTGTGTGTGTGTGTGAGTGCGTATGTAAATACATACCATGTTATGTTGTGGAGATAAGGGATCAGTACATATTAGGTTCATACATCGTACATCCGCAATCTGTGGCATACATTCACATATCTAATTACTGTTTTCTTTAACTTAATAGCTGGAAATTTTCATAGAGGATTTTCTGAATAATGGACCCGGAGCGGTTGGACCCGATCTGGACCGAGGCTTTAAGTTAATGGATCCATATGGTAATAAAATAAATGAACTCGAGAGTCGTAGACTTGAATTGGGTAAGACAGTTTCAATTTCTTTGTATATCGACGATTTACTCAAAGAGTGTTATAATTCAAAAATATGAAACTTTTTAAGCTCATATTCCACCTAAAGAAAATATATTAAAAATGTAATTTAGATATCTTGGAAACTTATTGACTGAAAACAAAATTGAGGAAATTATACGAGGCGTAGAACTATATTTGATTTTCCACAGATATTTCAATTAGAGCTTTATATAAGTCACACAATGTAAATATATTTTCATCTTAACTTAACATTCGAAAAAAAATGATAAAATCGATATTTTCGAGTTATCACACTCTTCGAAAAAGTGGACGATATGCATGTATTTTTTATCCCTAATAGAAGGACAGCAATATCAACAAATTTCTGATTTTGCCATTAATTGTATTTATTCATAATGTTTTCCCTGACCAAACGCAATGCCTTCGGTTTCTTGAATTTCGAATTAACCTGCCGCCTCCTACCCTGCACAGCCAATGCTGAGAAACTTTTCGATATGCCAATGCAAGACTACAATGATTTCTCTCGTCTCAAGGAGGACTACGAAGGAATGCAAATTGTAAGTCCACGACTCCCCACCACTTCAACTATTTACACACAAAAGCTACTGAGCCATTGTTGATGTGGCCCAGTTTAGTTTCGGTGGCCATGAAGGAGCATCGACCGAGCAGCTTAAAAGACACAGATAAAGTTTAATTTTTCAATTAATTCATTTGTGTTGCTGCTGGGATTCTCCGCAAAACTTCTTCTCAATATAAGATGTAACACTGTTCGGAAATGATTGAATATCGTCCTTTGTTTGTTTGAATTTTTCTTCTCTTCTCTTCTTGGTAGATTTACAAATTGTACAAAAGCCAAAAGTCCGCTCGAGAGGGATGGTCAAAGACATTGTGGGCCGACCTGGATCCTACTGTCCAGACAGAGGGTGTGGAAAGTTATTTAAAAGAATTTCGTAAACTTCCCAAACAGGTAAGTTAATGCTGTTGGTATTTCGAAGGGTTTAACTTTGGAGTGATGAGAATTGTAGAGAAATTTTTGACACAAAAAATACTATTCCCGATTTGAATAAAGTTCAAAGTCGATTTAAGAATGTATGTTTGTTGCAATCAAGACCGAGGTCACTGCTTTCTCTAGAGTTTTTAAATTTGGCAAGAGAGTTTGTATTTAATTTTGGTTGACTAACATTTAAAATTTTCATCGGTTCATGTCTGGACACAGCCCCCATTCGAGAGTACCTCTTAGTATTCTGGATAATTTTTAAGGTTTCAGCCAAAACTTCCTCTGGATTCAAATGTAATTTCATGTTTCGGGTTCTCAGTAGGCCTAGATTGTGCTCTACAGCCTACAAAACCGACGGTTGAGAGTTCGAAGCTGGGTGTCGGCAAATGAAAACAAGTAAACTAAACAACTTAAACTAGTTTGCTCATTTCCAATTTATTGGTAGATGTTGCACTTAAATGGTCTTCCTAGATCTGGAACCAATATTTCCCAAAGACCTATAATCTCTCAGAAGTGGCAAAAGATTAACATTTATTATTGGTTTTTGACTGAAACGCATCTATATAAGATACTGACATTTGACTATATTCTTCAACTAAATCAGCGTTAACGAAATAGTCAGAAGTGCGTCTTTCCTATATTTGTGAATTCTCACTGGAATGGACATTTTCGTATTTTGTCTACAAAAGTTGGCAAACTATTTCACACATTGAATATTTTTGGATGGCCACCCGAAACTGCTTGGCTTTTGCAATGTCCGGTAACCACCATTCAAATGTGCGTAAGGATCGGGCGATAATTACGACCTGCTGACAATTTTGCAGTATTTTGGTCCATTTCAACCCCTAAATATATGGCGATCATCTCCAAAAAGAGTAGGCTTCTATTCTGACCCTCTCCAGGCAAAATGAGAAAATTTTAGAAAATCAATATTTTTATCTTTAGAGAGATATTATTATGCGATTTTTTAAGACGTTTTTTCTTTCCTGCCAAGAGGCCATCCTTAATTAATGAGAACTGTCGAAATCAGTTCAGCCGTTCTCGACATATAAGAGATCTTTCAAGCATATCTTCTTTGATATACATATACATCGCACATATTTTGCTATATATCCGATTTGTTGGATGTTAACATCAATGTAAAGGTCAGAAGTAACCTTGTCATAGCTTCGTGATTTCGCCGGGATTTAAAATATTCGCGGTTCAATGAAAAATGTTGAATTTTTTCAACACAAAAGATATGGTCTTTTTTACCCGTTAAATATTATCCGATAACCACCCAAATTGGTAGGCTTCTTCCCCGCCCTAAACTCTAGCTACATGCGAAATTCCGCGTCGATTGGTCTATAATTGCGACCTGTATAGCTACTGCCCCACCTACATTCTAAATTTCGTGAAGATCGAGCCATAATTGCGACCTGTAGCGTGATTACAAATTAACATGGACAGACGGACAGACGGACAGACGGACAGACGGACGGACGGACATACATAGCTAGATCGACTCAGCTCGGCGAGCTAGGAAGATCCATATATACTTTCCTATATGGGAAACCAATATTTCGAGGTGTTACATAAATTCTGGCCAATCAAACTTATAATACCCCCAACACATAGTGTTGTAGGGTATAAAAAGATACGAAAAGTACGATGACTATTCGAAATCGATTAATAAGTGGATTTGTAAGTAGTTAGTGATTGGGAAATTGTCTTGATCCAAGAAAATCCAACAATTCGCATCGCTCAAAAGTGCTATCCTTTGTGCGAACCAACTAAAGTTTTTATTTAAGTGATTTTTGTTGTGCCAATTAAACTTAGGTAATAAGTTTCGAAATCGAAAAATTATGAAAGTTTTTGGCAAATATTTGTAAAAATGATTATACATTTTAGATTTTTATTAAAAAACCAAGTCCTCTGGGCTAAACCAAATACACAAAAATTAGAAACTATTTCACTTTAGAATATTTCTTCGATAAACTAAAAAGAAAATTTTGAATTAAAAAAAAAACTTATCTTAAAATGGTTTCTAGCCTTGGCGTTGATCTCAGGCAAAAAATATAAGAAACAGGTCTTGGGTTTAATAAACTATATAAGTAAGGTAGTTTATTTGGATATCTATTTATAGTAAATTTCTACAAACAGGATGAGATAAAAAATCTGCAACAAAGTCTATCGCCATAATTGATTCCTTTTTTGTTAAAAAATTTTATTGAATGAAAGCGAAGATAACTTTAGATTTGTTCGAATTGGTTACCTTTGGCACGAATTATGGCCTTCAAGCAGCCAATGAAACCGTTATACGCTGTCTGAATTTTGCTCTGCGGTATTTTGTCCCATTCCCGGCGAAGCGCTTGCTTGAGGTGATCGACACTTTGGTATTTTCAGTGCTAACCTTGCTTTCCAAAATAATCCAGTCACAATAGTCCAACTGATTGGTATCGGAGATTTTGGTGGCCATTGTGCGCAGGAAATGAAGCGACGAACCTCATTTTGTAACCATTCTTGGGTGGCGCGTGTTGAGTCCTGTTGGAGTGCCCAAGGTCTGCGGCCAAAATGAATGATGCCACGGTCGATTAATACGAGCGACCATCGGCTGTTATGGCGGCCCACACCATCATCATGGCCGGCACTTGAGTTCTGGTGGCCAACCGAAGATGTACATTTTCAGCTGACCTCTTTGGCAAGTAAACACGATCATTTTGTTTGTTTAAAACTGCTGAATAACGAATGTTTTCTCATCGGAGAAAACCAAATTCGGCAGTTCACCACTTTCGGCCAAGCGAAACAACTCTTTAGCTCTTTTGAGTCTATTTTCTTTCTATTGCGGTGTAAGTTCTTCCACTTTTTGGAATTCCCATGGCTTTACCCTGAGCTTTTTTTTCAATATTTGCCGAATGGAATATTGCGATATGTTCAGCTCACGAGCCATTTTCAGCCACTGCGACACGGATTTCGATATAGTCGTTTCTTTATTTTTCGAACCATTTCTGCTGATGTTGCTGTTTTCTTCCGTCCACTTCTTTGACATCGGGCTACGCTACCAGTATCACGGTAACGAGCGATGGTACGTGACACAAAAGACTTATTCACATTTAACTGCTGGAATGCTCTAACGACAGCCACTTGTGGTTTTCCAGCCAAATGTTAAGAAATCACACTATCGCGCTTGAATTCCATCACGAATAACTCTTTTTCTGGAAAATTCTCACCAAAAAGCGTTTGTTCGCTTGTAAACAATATAATGAGCTGTCACTGGAATAATTTTAACAGCTGTCGGAATAACAACAGTGGAAATAACAACAGTCTGAAGATGGTTGCAGTTTTTCCATTTCACCCTGTATTTTCTTGATCAACGACAAATTCTATGTTGATTTAACCTTGCCCGCCCGTCTGAGTAAAAATGAATTGAGATAGGAAGCTAAAAGTTTGCACAGAACAGTCTTTTGTCTGCAGGCAGATCAAATTCGAAGAGGGGCTATATATATACCACAATATAATGGTACATCTCGATATTCGGTATTTTGATGATTTTGGCCACATTTTCCAATTGGATTGTGTGAATGTGATGTATAAAGTTCTTATGTGGTACCTACGAAAAAAAATTGTGTAAATAGGCCTTTGAGTGCATACAGCCCCCATATAAAAATTCCCAGATACTCGGAATTTTCATTATTTTTGTTAATTTTTTTATGGAATTGTCTGAAATTCTGTATATAAATAATGCATCTCTATTTAGTGGTACCCCTCGATATTTTTATGAAATCGGAACAGATTTTTCAATGGTTTTGTTTGTAATAACAGCCAGTATATTGGCATTTTGATGGGTTTCCTGGCACATTTTACGGTAGCCTTAATAAACAATAATCATTTTTCAATAACATATCTATTTGGGTTATATTTTTTAAATTTGCTATTTTAAATGGATATCGAAAAATATATAAAAAATTGGATTTTCCCCGAATGGCGGAGTTAATCAAAATTTCGTCCCCACTGAGCTTACATGGAAGACAACATTAAAATATAGAAGTGTAGTATTCAAGGCCTGACTGCATATATAATAAACAATCTTCTGAAAAACACAATACCTCAATTATATTTGGCATATTTAAGTTCATTCTCAGTTCTTTTAATATGAAAGGCCTTGCTTTTGAATAAGAACCAAAAAGTGCACCCTCCTATTTTAATACTCAAAATGCACAATATATTAAAACTGTAGATTCAAGCTATACCCATTCACTCAACGGTAAATTACTTTTTATATAGTTGTAGTACAACATGTCCAAAACGACCTCCTTCTCTTCACCCTAGACATTACCTCGATACAAGTTTTCGAAACCCTTTTTTGCGTGCAGTAAAAGTACCCATTTTCAAAAGAATCTTCACATTTCAATCTCAGATACCAACAGAGACCCCAATATAAAATTTCGTTATTTCAGATCTATTCCTTCACCCAATTGCAAATTTAATAATTTTTAGTACTTTTCGTAAAATTATTCAACCTCAGATACCAACAGAGACCTCAATATCAAATTTCGAGATTTCAGATCTATCCTTTCACCCAGTACAGAAATTAGTAACATTTAGTACTTTTCGTACAAATATGGGACGTATTTCGAAACCACCAGCAAATTTCAAATAACTAATGCAAATATCAAATTTCAGAACTTTATCTCTATCGTTTCACCCAATACCAAATAAAGTACTATTCAGCACTTTTCCTACAATTATATATACTTTTCCACAAAATTTCAAATTTTCAGCTTCATCCGTTCACCCTAAGCCAAACGGCTTCAAATTTAGTACCATTTAATATGGCTCAAACATTTTGTACACATTTCCAAAACCACCATCATATATTAAACTTATTTTCCAACCTTGATTCACGTACCAAATTTCAAGCTTTTAGCTCTGTCCGTTAACATAAAGGTACTATTATAGAAGTTTAGAACCAGTTCAGAACTTTTCGTAACGTTAAATTTCGGATTTCCAATAACACTATGATACATCTATCCTGCACCCAATGAGTGATTCTCATTCCGAATTTCCGTTTATCCAGCACAAAGTACACACGCCCTCGCACCAAGACTGATCATCTTGCAACTTTTCAAGATTCTAGCTTCAGCCATTTCATCTGGGCGTTGATTCTAGAGTTAGTCAGTTATTTCACTGCTCTTTTATGCATGTAGATAACAATTTTGAAAATGACGGAATTTTTTAAGGCGAAAAATATATTGGTTCAATGTTTATGTTGTTAAAACATGTTAAAACATCTAAAGCATTACAAAAATATTTCTAAATAAAAAACAAATGCCTTAAAAATACTCAATTTGTGAATGGAATGATAGACTTTATACTTTTTTAAATAAATTAAAAACACACATAGCCTTGTATGGCTTACACTTCGATTATTAGAATATTTTGATCATGAGTTCTAATTGAGTTTTTTTCTTAAGGATGTAAAGTTAAGGCAAACAGGTTCTACAAGAATACAAGAATTTTTCCTCCGATTGTTTAATGCAGAGATTTGTTCAATTTAACTTTGGACTTACTCTATATACCTCAAAATGCCAAAAATAGCAATTAATTATATATTAACCATCCATGCTGTAATTAGTACAATTTACAATATGATACAATATAAGTACAATACAATAAAATTATTTGATTAGCAGCAAACGCATCGCTAACAAATGATATCACCATTGTCTGCCGAAATAACAGTTATTCCAGCTAAAACTGCAAATGCACCAAATTTGTTATGTGATAAGCCTATTATATTAAATTTATTGTCGTAATTTATTGTAGCCAGTTTTGTCAAATTGAATGATAGCGGCTTCACAGCGCAGAGGCCTCCTAATCGATCGCACAATGCGATTTGCATGGCATAGTTCGAACATCACATACATACATGTATACATACATACATACATGTATGGAATCAAAAAGATTGCAACAACAACTAGGCAGAAATTTTATACATCGGCGATAAGCTGTAGACATTGTTTATTCCTAGTTGTTAATCAATGCGGCGGTTTGTTACATTTCACGCGTTGTAAATCCCGTTTGTTTTGTTTTGTTTGATTCCAGGTGCGACAGCTACCCGTCGGCCAAATGTTGGAGCTACAGATGAAACAATTCAAAGGCACTGTGCCGCTTATGGTGAGCTTGAAAAACGAAGCCCTGCGGGAACGTCACTGGCTGCAATTAATGGAAAAGACGGGCCAGTACTTCGATATGACACCGGAACGATTCACACTTGAAAACATGTTTGCCATGCAATTGCACAAATACCAGGTAAGTGGGTGTAGGGGAATGAAACGTTATTGCGAATGTATTCCGAATTCTGATTTACATACATCAGATCACGTCACATTGCACTAAAATGACTGGCACTCAAGAACTATTTTAGCGACGTAATTTGTAAAAACATTGAGGCATCAATTGAAAAAAGTGGTGTCATGAGATTCCTGTTCGAATTACAATTTCCACATTTTGAAAATAAAATTTGATAGGTTTGCACTTTATTGTGACGAAAAAATTCCAGAGATATTAAAAAAATGTTTCTATTAAAAACAAGTAAGCAAAAGATTTCGCTTTTGAAATTATGTCACGGAGCACTGCCCAGATATTACCTTTAGCATTTTGACCAGGGACATTTGCCCAATATTTACGCACACCTTCGTGCTGTTAGTTGATGTGGTCCATTTTACAGCTTAATATAATCCAATGGTCATCAAAAATGCTACAATTCTTCCCTGTCTCTTCTCAGGCGTGTCGATCGGCTTCAATTGTGTGTTTAGGATTTCTTTTTCTGTTTTTGGTTCATTTGAACCGCTAAATATTTTACGACCACCTCCAAAAACATCTATATGATTTGCTTGTCTACGATATTTGGCTATATTCGTCAACGAAATCAATATAAAAAGCAAGAAATTCGCCTTTTGTGTATTTCGGATAACGCCTATAAGTAATGCTGCTATTTTTTCACACAAAAGTAGAGGTTCATTTTACCCGCTATCCTAAACTTTAACTTCATGCGAGATTTCGTGTCCTTTGGTTTCTATTTCATCCATTAAATATTACCCGATGACCATCAAAATTGGAAAGCTTCTGCCAAGCCTTAAGCTCTAGTCCCATGCTAACTTCCGCTTCGATTGGTCTATAATTGCAACCTGTTTCCAGTTTTTGGTCCATTTCAACCCCTAAATATTATGCGATCATCTCCAAAAGCAATAGGCTTCTATTTCGGCTCTAGCCTCAACTTCATGCTAAATTTCGTGACGATCGGGCCACAATTTCGACCTGTAGCGTGATTACAAATTAACATGGACATACTGACAGACGGACGGATGAAGATACATAGCTAGATCGACACATTTTTAAAGAAAACCTTTTGGCTGAGTTTATTTTGATTTTTATATTTAGCCGTTGAGTTTTTCTCGATATCTAACCATTTTTGAAAAACAACTCTATTTTTGAGACATACTAATATCAAAAATAATAGTATTATTAACAATATTTTTTTTTATTTCTTTAGGGAGAAAATTGTCAAAATGTTAACTAACGGTCAAGCATATGTTTGCCATAACGAATTTCCAATTTTACTCCTTATTTGCTAAAAAAAAACGAATAATTCCAAAAAAATCAAAAGTCGAAAAAATTTTTAAAAATTAAAATGTTTCCAAAAATTTTGGTAGGCTATCATAATTTATTTGATTTTAAAAAGCAATAAGTAGAGATACACATATACAATGTGTGCGAAAAATGTGTGATTCCGCATAATATGAAGATTCCGAAAAAAGTTATGTGTGCATTCGTTCTGAATGGACTAAAATATTTCGATATTTACACTTTTCCAGAAAATTCAGCGATTTTTCCAAAACAAAATCAAGTTTTTTTTAAATTGGAATGGATGGAAATTATTTAAAAAATTTACTTTTATGTAATTAGATCAAAAGTATTTTAATCCTTCGAGTTTTTGAAATTTGCCGTAATTTTGCCGTAACTTTTCAAATTTATATAATTTAAAAAAAATGTTCATAAAATTTACGTGCACATTACCTGGGGACTCTGTACTGAGAATCATTCTTGTCATTTCATTTCATACACCCATGTATGTACACCCAATCAGTTTTAAACACCTTGTAAACAGTCGTCTATCCAACCATTTATACAAAAAAATAAACATTACACATACAGATATTACCCTTAAAGCGGCGGAATGTTGCAACCATGCTGTTGCTTGTTGCTACTTCACTCGCTCACCTTATCATTCCATTTCAATAGGAAATTGCCGAACAAATCCTAAATAATGCCATCAAAGAATTGGCCATTGAAAAAGGCGTTAAAGCTGTTGAGGATACTTGGGCCGCCATGAGCTTTAAAGTGCACAAACATTACAAAGGCTCCGAAGAACGTGGCTATACCCTGGGAGCAGTGGATGAAATCGTGCAGGTGCTCGAGGATAACTCGGTGAATCTTCAATCAATGGGTGCCTCACAGTGAGTAAAATGGCAAATGTCGACGCTACAACCAACACAGATGTGTCGACAACAACAGAACTACCGGTTGGCACGAACCAATGTGGACCAATGGACGATGTTGATGTTCAACAAGCATGCTGTTGGCCATACGACAATTTTATCGTCCAATTTCATTTTGATATTTGTTTTATTCCTCTACGATTACAGATTCATTGGCCCATTCCTTGAGACGGTCAATCGTTGGGAACGTAACTTGGCTCTTATTTCGGAAATTATCGATGAGTGGCTAATAGTGCAGCGTAAATGGCTGTACCTGGAGGGGATATTCATAGGTGGTGATATACGTTCTCAGCTGCCGGAGGAAGCTAAAAAATTCGATGACATAGACAAGGCATATCGAAGGGTAAGTAATGGTTCACTTTTAATAACCATTCGAATGTATCTTTATTTGTGTATACGCCTATGAATTCCAATGAGTAAAGAACGATAAAAAAAAGTTCATTCTCGGAGGATATAAATTCAGGATAAAAAACACATTCCTTAGATAAAATTTAATTTGGTTAAAATAACATTAATTCAAAAACTAGTGTGCAGGGCCTCAATTCTTGTTCTATGAAAATGTAAAATGTAAACTTTTAAGCAAATATTTTTCATTTCATATTTTCATAGAACAAGAATCCAGCCCCAGTTCTATATGAAAACAAGCTATGAAATATTCATCGGTTTTGCCGGCAGATGTATACCCTCAGCCTTGCGTTATGATTGTTCAAACTGTTGACCCGTTCTGGGGCATTTTTCGAATGAGTGATCCGATAGATTTCATATTCACATCAGATCTCTGAAATTTAGAAAGAATCAGATGCTTTTTTTCACATTTTATGAGCGTTTTGTTACACCAGATCTTGTGTTGGTAAAATTATTGAGATGCACGAAATTTGAAAAAATTCGAATACATATTTTGCATTTTAAGGAGGGGATGGTCTATAAATCCCCTCTTCAAACCATATCTTGTGTTGCTATAAATATTAAAATGTACAAAATTTAAAGGGAATCCGATGCCTATTCGTATTTTATGAGCATTTTGGTGATTCAAATTCAAATTGTAACCCCTTTGTGAAGGAGGTACCAGAAGAAGTTTCCAATACATCCCATATTTACGCCAGATCATTTGTTTGTAAAAATATTGGGATGTGTGAAATTTAAAGGGAAGCTGAAGTTTATTTATTCTTATGAGCTATTTGTTATTCAAAATTGTTTACCTTTTGTGAGGGAAGTACCAGAAGAAGTTGGCCAATATTTACCATCTTCTCTACATATCTTGTGTTAACGGAAATATTGAAATGTGTGAAACTTTTAGAGAATCGGCCCTTTTTTATACCTGACCTAGCACTGACAAAATATTGGGATTTGCTAAGTTTGCACAAAATCAAATGATCCTTTCTCTTTCTGTGATGTAAAAGTTTTCTTCGAAAATGGTGAACTTATGTGGGAGAGGTACCAGAAGGCGTGGACAGATGTTGTCCATCTACGACCTCGATCTGAGTTTGACAATAATACTGCGATGTACCAAGTGTGGACAAAATAGGATACTCCATTCGTGGGACGGACGGGCAGCCCTAGATCAACTCCAAATGTCCGTATCGAATGATATATACCATATGGCTTAGGGCATTAAAATCGGCTTGGTTTTATAAATCAAGTCGAAGTACTCAATGGATATCTATCATTTTCTAAATTTTAAAATCTCATATTTCTTAAAATTTCTAAATTTACCATTATAGTCATTCGCAGTTTCACTTCCATAATATAAATTGTTAAGTCCAACTAAAGTATTTTGGAAGATAGTGTAATGTCTTTCGCATCGGAAAAGCAAGAATTCTTTAGTTTGATATCGAAAAACAAGGTTTCGGCATTAAATAATCGCGCATGGTATTCTTCAACATTTGTTTGAAATAAAATATGAAGTCTTCTTGATATTCTCGATAGTTGGAATCTAAACGTGAAAAAAACCTCAAATATTTGGATGAAATAAAAATATTTTTGACGTATTTTTTGAGAAACTTGCAAATCTGATATTAATTTCTTCATCTATACTGATATTCCATTGTATGCACCCATGGTTAACCCATATTTGTTTGCCCCCTAGACCCATTATCTTAAGTCAAAGACACTACATCGGATTGCTGTTCAACGGTGATATCTCAAGTCGAAAAATTGCAGAGTATTATTAGCACATATCTATGCGAATGGAAATGTCTGTAACTCTTACTGTGAGCACAGGCTATACTATTCCTTGGAATAGTACTGCACACACACTCACACACACCGACATTCCATTTTCGTACCTAGGATGACAAGACATTCATTTATGAAATAATTTTGTGTAGTGCATACAAAGGAAGTCAGTCCTTCCAATGAGTTCTACATCCATTCAGCTCTTCTCTGCTGTTCGAACATTGCCTTCATCCACTCGAGAGATATGGGCATGGAATTGGTAGCACATGTGATGTTTATCCTCCTTCGTGGCATAGGGAAATGAAACAGACACATCATCGACCTCACCTGGCTCCGAAGCATGTCGACCGGTATGTGTGTTTGCGTTACCCGACCTGGTTGGTTGTCAAGGTTAATTCATGTGAAATCTATCCTGGAAAAACGAGACCGAAAGATGAAGACAGTTTCGTTATTCCCATCATAATCACAAAATAATCGAAAAGTCTGAGGTGTACTCTTTTACGGGTACATAATCTTAAAGCGGAGGTGTTTTCATACAATACCAAATTAAACAGTTGACAGCGTAGCTAAGGTTATACAATCAGGAATCCCTTTACTGGTCACACAAAACAAATAATGATTAAGAACACGTCTTAAACATTTGAATGGCCAATAATGATTCCCATATGCCTTCAGTTATTCCTAATTATCCCACATACATTTAAATAGCTGAATTAATTTTCTTAATTTTATGACTGAAATAAAAAAGAAGTGCAAAATGTATATTTGCGAATTAAATGAATTCAATCTCAAAAGGAATTTATTAAACAAAATCAAATTATATCAGAACTTTAAAATTTGTGGACTTCGCCACAACTCGGATATCAAATTAAACAACATTTGTTGTTCCTTCCTTGTGGTAAACGGTGACATCGTGGAACTTGAAATTGCCAACCTTAAAGTAATAATCATGCAGAACTGGACGCTCCAAAGGATATCCCAAGGGCAAGGCGTCCACATAGCGACTGCCAGAACCAACACCACAGCTTACGGCAGGGTCGTATGTCGAGAACTGAGTTACTTCAGGAGCATGATATGGGTATACGGCAAAGAAGAATTGGTATGTTAAACCTCCCTTCTTGCCCAAGGGCAGAAGCAAGCGACGAGGGAAACCGCATTGACCAGATGTAAGGGGGAATTGATAATCGGAATTGGTGGCATCAAATAGCTTCTTGTACAGCTCGTAGTATGTGGTCTGATCGTTTGTAGAACAAGCAAATTCCTCGGAACTGCGTTTCAAGTGATTTGCACCAGCAACCAAGTCAACGACGTAGTGATCCAATTCAAAGAAGTTTTGGTAGTTGTCCTCTAACTTCAGCAGACGACCATTCTCATCGTATTTTGGGCCAAGGAATACCTTGACGACTGCTTTCTGGGCCTTGTCCGAAGTAACGTCCAAAGTGAATTCGAATGGTTGATGATTGACGCGCTTTTGGCGTGCCTTGACAACGAAACTGTGACCTTCGTAGACCGAGTTGCGTCCGAATGTGTACAAAGCATCAGAGGAACCTTCAACAGCAGGAGTAGCAACGTCAACAAGGTTGCTCACATCGGAATCGAAATACTCAAAGAAGGTGGTCAATTTTTCGGGCAGATGGACATCATCGAGAGTGACACCAGGGAATTCTAGATCCTTCTTCTGGTACTCAGGGAAGTTTCCAGCCAAACGCCAATAATAACCAACAAGTTCCTTGTACAGAGAGTAGAACAAAGGATCGCGCAAAGAGGTTTCATACTGTGACAATGTGCCAGGCAAAACATCGCCGAATTTTCCATAGTAACGTCCTTCGTTGACAACCTCGCGCAACAGAAGATCAAGACTGCCGTACAGTTTCTTGTCCAGGCTAAAGGAATTGCCCTGCAAAGTATTTCCAAGCTTCTCCACCGCAGTCTGGAAGTCATCGGTGGTGGTGTCTACAAACTTGGCAACACGTTCGAAGTATAACGTTACATCTCTAACCAAATCGTAGTTTCCATCATTATAGAAGTTGTAGTCATTGGGACGTTCGGGGAAGCTGACACCTTTGTAGTAGGCCAAATTGCTGTAGTAACCAGGTCCGTAGTTCTCGAACACATTCAGTTGAGGTACTTCACCCAAATCATTGGACAAACGTTCCAAATAGTAACGAGCCAACAATTGCCTGTGCAAGTACAAATACAACTCACCCACACGGTCCTTGCTGAATTCATGAGTCTCAGGACCCTTGGTCCAGTAGGGGTAGTGCAGGTTGTAGTAGTAGTAGAAAGCGTTGAGGCCAACATCTTCGGTGAAATATGCCAAGGTGTGGTCGTAGTTGACATTGTCGTACACGTTGCTGTAGTTGGACTTGACGACTACGTTGAAGACGTTGTCCAACTGCTTGACATTGTGGAATCCGTGGAGAGCTAGGTGTTCAGCTTTGGTCACAGTTTCCACATCGAAGAAATGCCATGGCAGGACCTCGTACACAGCAGGGGTGGTCACACCGTGTAAGTCGTCACGCAGAACAGTGGCCAAGTTAAGGGCGTACACAAACAGTTGCTTATTCACGTGGACGCGGGCCCAGTACACAGCATGGGTGAAAGCCTTCCAGTCCTTGGCGAAGTAGAACAAACGTCCCAAACCCAAAGCGTACTCAACATGGTTGGCGTAGACTGGAGAGAATACAACCTCGTCACACAGCGGTTTGTGTTGCCACAGATCGAAGAAGTCGGTCAACTTGTCGGCATTGTTGTAGTCCTCCAAGTGTTCCCATGGCAGGTAGGAGGCATAGGTCTCATCGAATTTGGTCACAAACACATCATCCTGATAGACATGCTGCAGGACTTCCAAGACAAACTTTTGCTTTTCCAAGAAATCCTTATCGGCAAACTTTTGTTGCGTTACTGGGCTGCCCAAGGCACAAAGGGCCAAGCAGACGACTGAAACTGCTGTGAACGACTTCATCTTGCGAAATCATACCCAACTACCCTGAGCGAGCCCTTTTTATACCTGCTGGTAACGATGCAACATCGTACATTTTTCACCTAATCAAACATATTTTGAACAAAATGGAAACACTACGATTAGAATACAATCGGAAAATCTTGCAATTCGAAAAAATAATCTCTGCTTAGCAATATCTTATCAATATTAGACGGAGGTCAATG